GACCTTACGTGATGACATCTAATATAATACTGGCTTGATTTACCACCTGGTCCCGAATGAATGACTAATAAGTTGAATCATGCTGCAAACCGATTAATTTATCTATGACTAATGATGATAAAGAAATTATACGGGGGAAAAAGATAATATAGTATACAAAATATAAGATGAAGGATTGAAATCGGATGTACTGACAGTATTATTTTCGAAAAAATTTAACACAGACTGAAAATATAATTTTTCCCAAAATCTCTAGATATGTTTTGATAACTGGAAAATTGTCGTTCTAGATCACAACCTAGTGAGGTAGTTAGTAGGCAAGAGCTATTTTACCTCCTTGCATACTAGGTCGCCTACTAGGTTTTCATTTATAGATCGACAATGACTGAAAAGAGTAGGAAAACACACGAAAATATCTAAAATAATAGACAAATTATTCTATGGAAAGAAATCCATCGATATTTTACCTAATTCGGCTCTAATTAAGTTGAAATTCGAGGACTGGTTGTTTTTTGAAATAACATTGGATTTTGAATAACGAGTTCAATAAAAATTATATTTTTTAAATTGGATGTGCACTGTTGAAAAATAAGAAGTTTTCTGTTTTGCCTGAAGACGGATCTAGATTTCAAATTCGATTCCTATTTAGTTTTGATGAGAAATATGAGATGAATATACCTACCAAGTATGAATCGATTATACACAGTGGTTCAATAGTTATGACCTGACAATAGATGAAGATTTTGCCAGAATCAACAAACGGTACGAAACATACAGGGTATGTCACGATGAGCTTACACTATCTCTATATCTAGAATCAGTCGGGAGAAATCCATGAAAATATGCATGCTTATAAATTAGAATACGCTCTCTTCATTTAAAATAATTTCAGCAATGCAGTGTTGCCGCTTCTATCTACTTTGTTATTTCAAATAGAATACCCTGTATTTCATTGCATTTTTAGATTCTCCCTAAAGAGCTGATTTCATCAATACATCAAACTAGGGGTCTATCGGAAAGGGTTACAGAGATATAGGGTGTTCAAAATCGAGATTTTTCAACTTCAGGATTTGTTTGTACCGAAACTATTCATTATCGGCCACAACAGCTCACATGCCCCTATCTTAACTTTGATTTACTATTTACTGATATTTAATCGGAACAGATACAGGGTAAAATGAGGATTCTGAATCTTGAATCACCCTGTATCTAAAGGAAGAATAAATCTCGAAATCATCTCCACGCCATTAAATGGGTGAACAAAATTATGTTGCAAAAAGAGGGGACATATGTTTCGGGCTTATAATAAGCCCATCATCAGCCAAGGTTTATAACATCCTACAAAAGTCTAAACTTGTAACAGGAATATGGTAATAGTTGTTATTACTTACATGAGGATGAAAAATGTTCTTCAAAGTTGTTGAATATTATTAAATTCAAATGGTAAACATAGTAAAGTATAAAGTATAAAAACAGGTATTTTTATTTTGAGAGGGGCCTGTACCCTCAAAGTTACCCTCAGGAGGTTTTCATTAGGTGAAAAATCAAAGATTTTACAAAATTTCGAAAAACACACATGAGTGAGACTTGAGTGAACTATAGGTTTGCTGTCACTGAAAAATCGAAAAATCATGAGATCAAACGTCATACTTCAGGATGACAAGACGTCAACAAGACAGATGACAGGTGAAATGGTGCAATTGAACTATTTTTCAAACAGCCATGGGTTGAGATCAAAACTGGTTGAGTGGAAAAAGTACATTTAAGAAAATGTTGAGTTGAGTTATTATGGAGGAATGGAGAAACAAGGGAGAAGGAAGGATCTCCATCTCAAACAAATGTTAGTGAATTGAAAAATGTTACGCAGTTTAAGTTTACCTGTTCATTAACCGAAATGGAATTATTATCCTTCAATGAGGAGTTGATCTCGAAGATCTCTAGTAAATTTAGTAAACCTCCTTTTTGACAAACGTGTAAAATTCAAAACGTGATTAGCAGAGGAGTTTTTTGTGTTATATTCATCTAGGTGCCTAATTCTAGATTTCTCAATGAGTTTTTTGTGCTCAGTTAATCTAGTGATAATTCTTCTGCCACTTTGACCGATATATTGAGCACTGCAATTAGGTTCCGAACAAGTGACTTTGTATACTCCTGATTTGTGTACAATTGGGATATTATCTTTAGGTGTTGACGAGAGTTCTATATGTGGTGTATGTGGTATAAGATTTAATAATATTCAACAACTTTAAAGAACATTTTTCATCCTCATGTAAGTAATAACAACTATTACCATATTCCTGTTACAAGTTTAGATTTTCGTAGGATGTTATAAACCTTGGCTGATGATGGGCTTATTATAAGCCCATTGTTCACCCATTAAATGTCGTGAAAATGATTTCGAGATTTATTCTTCCTTCAAACACTACCACTCCACTTTGAACAATATGGACTTCCTCACACGTTTCACCCTGTTTCTGTTCCAATTGAATATGAGTAAATAGGAAAACAAAAGTTGATATAGGGTCATGTGAGCCATTTCGACGATAAAGAATACTTTCGACACGAAAAAATCCTAATGTTCAAAAATATCGATTTTGAACACCCTATATCTCGGGAAATGTTCTTCGGAAATCTCTGCTATCATCCCTTCACTAGCAATACCAGTCAGACGAACTAGACAAGCCCAGTCAGCACATCCCTTCGTTGTCAACCTCGGAAGATGTCGAACAGCACTTCATCAAAACTCCTTCATCCATAGAACGGCTAGGCTCTAGAATTCATTGCCTGAGGAAGTATTCCCAACAACATATAATCTCCAGCAGTTCAAAAAAAATTCCAATACCTACCTCCTGTCCCTATCCTCCCTAGGATCGCACGATGTTCTTTGAACATTATTTCGTGCGCTTCAAGCATGATATATCGAGAGGAGAATCTAAAAATGCGATAAAACACATGGTGTTCCATTTGAAATATCAATGTTGCTACTACTTTCTAGTAGAAGCGGCAGCACTGCATTGTCGAAAATATTCTATATGAAGAGAGCGTATTCTAAAATATAAGCATGCACATTTTCATAGATTTCTCCCGACTGATTCTCGATATAAAGATAGTGTAAGCTCGTCGTGACATACCCTGTATAGGGTAATGAAGTTACATGAATACAGGGAAATATGAGGAAAAATTTAGAGAATTTCGCTCCACTTACCAGCGTGAAAAAAGTGAGGCTTTGATGAAACAACACGAAACACTAGAACACACACGATCCCGATATTATTATTATTATTATTGTATCGAATGAGGAATACAAAAACACTATATACGAATCAATACGATCACTCATTTGTTAGGGAACACTCAGTTTTGAACGATAAATAATTCCTTTCGCGTATTTTTCAATGTCAAAAACACTATATACGAATCAATACGATCACTCATTTTTTAGGGAATAATCAGTTTGGAATGATAAATAATTCCTTTCGCGTATTTTTCAATGTCAAAAACACTATATACGAATCAATACGATCACTCATTTTTTAGGGAACACTCGGTTTGGAACGATTAATAATTCCTTTCGCGTATTTTTCAATGTCGATCACAAAATTCGACCGTTCGTGATGACATCTAATATAAGACTGTCTTGATTCACTATCTAGTCCCGAATGAATGACTAATAAGTTGATTCATGCTGCTAACAGATTAATTTCCGAACAAACGATTTATCTATGACGAATGATGATAATAAAATTAAACGGGGGGAAGGGGAGATATTTTGTATACAGGTGGTATTTCTTTTCGAAAATCACTCACGATATGAAAGAATTCAACACAGGTTGAAAATATATTTTTTCCAAAAATCTATCGTGATTATGGAAGAACTTAACATACAATATGTAGAGAAAAGATCGAACCCTTCCCATTATCAAGAAACAATTTACCACAGTGACATACAGGCAAACAATTTTTGTTTTAAAAATATTGTATTTGAAAATATGTATTTGTATTTTTGAAAATTTTACGATTCGAAAGAATTACTCAATACTATTAATTTTGGAATCTCACGATTTGAAAGAATCTAACACAAAGACTAAATGTACAACAAATATTTTATTGTGGAATATTTCTCAAGTAGAAAAAAAATAAGACGAGGACGAATAGGCAAATATGTATTTATTATACAGGGAAAAAAAAGTAGTAGATTTTAGCTCCAGGTTGTGTTGACAAAAAACCGTGAGCTAAAATCTAATATTTTTTCCGTTCAAATATTACAGACATTTCATAGAAATTGAAAAAATATCAGTAACTAAAAGTTGTTATGACATTCTAATTCGAAACACATATGTAAAATTAGAATAGAAACAACTTTCCTCAAAAAACTTCCTTGAAATTCGAACTTTAATGACTAATTGAACAAAATATTTGGACATTTAACGAAAGTCACGTGACCCAGCGATCAGTCCATTTTTCATATTTTTCAACGCACAACTTAACGCCCAAGTCGAATTTCCAAAAGATTGCGGTATCTATAAGCGACAAGGTGAACTAATTTTTGTTGAGTAGCGAAGAGTAGAGATCGGCAAGGCAGAACATATTCGGAGTTTTATTTTAGATGTGTTAATGCAAGAAGGAATATCGCATCAGGGCTGGATTGAAATATTTTCATTATTTAAAAGCCTTCAGAATAACAAAGTTAGTGATTATCCTGCTTCAGAAAGAAGTATATTCCTAGATAGTTCAGCAATTTGCAGATAGATGTTTAGAGTTTATACAAATCGGCCATATTTTGCTGAATTTTGCTAGTGGTGCCTACAAAATTAGGCCAACTGTCAATTGTCAGTTTTCTATTTTTCGGTCAAAGTTGAATATATTTCGAAATCCTCACACACACAATTCATTTTTCAATCACTTATAAGATAATAGATACCTCTTTATAATGGCCGTACAAAGATCATTGTGAGTTTCATTTTTTCATGGTCTCTGATACCCTTTGTTTTTCATTTCAGGTCAGTACAAGGCCAGGTGAAACGTCCAATATGCTAAGTAGCTTTTCTGAAAGACTTGAGAGCATTCTCAATCAGTCTTCTGTCATTCTAAGAAATCTCACCAACTCCATGGAGATGCTCACGACCAGTACATCTACGAGAAGATTCAATACTGTCGACGTAAGTCATCAAAATCTCTATTTATTATTTCAATGACAAATTTCTCTGCTCGAAATATATTGTTAGGCTGTCAAAAGTTTTGTCTAACATTCCCTGTGTAACAAAACCCAATATTTTTCAGTGAAAAGGTTTATTCAACTTTTTATTCAGCTTTGGCATACACTTTGAGCAAAAAACTAAACAATAGTAGATTATACACGGAGGAAGTAAAGTTCATCAGTTTTTTTCTGAGGTGCTTTTGTGCTTTAATGCACTCGGGGGAAAATCTTCCGAGGTATACAGTGTGTCCCTAGACCAGTGGGATAGGTGAATATCTCCTGAACCAATAGGAATTTTCGAAATATTAAAATCCCACATCATATCGCATCATGAGTGCTAACTTCAGGAATGACTAAATTTTATACGAGGGGCGCAAGAAAGGCTCAGAAAATCGAACATCAATTTTTTCAAATAGGACACCCCATATATTTCAACATATCTGAATTCTCATTCCTTTAGGCTAATTATCAGTTTTTTATTTTTGAAAATCCGACAAGGCGTTGCCAAGTTATACCAGTATTTCATGTAATGCAGAAATTTTTTTATAGACAAACCCATTATTCATACTACTAAGAATTTATGGAATCATTCAAGACTGTTGGTAGTCGGTGGCATATTCTATCATATGAAATACTCATCTTCTTCGAAAGTTATACAGGGTGGTCAGAAATATTATATGATTTTCACGAAATTCAAACTTAAAATACATAAGCTCTGCGGGAGTTTTTTCTCGCTTCGTCAAATATGAGTAACATGTCAACATATTCATCTGGTGAAAATAACTGTGGCATTTCAATATTCTTCCACAAATAACGGGGAACAAACTAAACCCGTCTTAAGGGGCTTTGAACAATTAAACTACTTTATTGGATATGATCTTGGGGAACACAATAATTATTTATGCACTAATGTATTTTTATTGACTCAGCGAATGTTATATAACTGGCATGACTCCAATTGTCCGAAGCCACACCGGAGTGCTTGATATTATCGTGCCTAGATATTCAAAAAGAAGATGGTTTCTTGTAGGGACTCTTACGTAGTTAATTACACTAGAATACGTAGTTTGATGATTTTTTTTTGTATTTGCTGATGATGAAATTTACATCTCTCTTTCACAACTATTGACCATAAGCAATCAAACCACCAATGGGATATAAAATTATACATATTGTAGGGTGCACTATTTGAAAAATTGATGTGAAGAAAGTTTGAATTTCGTGAAAATCATATAATATTTCTGACCACCCTGTATAATTTGAGAAAAAGATGAGTATTTCATATGATAGAATATGCTACCGACTACCAACAGTCTTGAATGATTCCATAAATTCTTAGTAGTATGAATGATGGGTGTGTCTAAAAAAATGTCTGCATTTCATGAAACACTAGTATAACTTGGCAACATCTTGTCGGATTTTCGAAAATAAAAAACTGATAATTAGTCTAGAGGGATGAGAATTCAGATATGTTGAAATATATGGGGTGTTCCATTTGAAAAAATTGATGTTCGATTTCGTGAGCCTTTCTTGCGCCCCTCGTATAAAATTTAGTCATTCCTGAAGTTAGCACTCATGATGCGATATGATGTGGAATTATAATATTTTGAAAATTCCTATTGGTTCAGGAGATATACAACTGTCCCACTGGTCTAGGGACACACTGTATATACAGGGTGGACCAAATTGGGCACTTTTAAAGGGAAAGTCCTATTCCCGTACAAGATAGAAAAAACTAGAGTCCCTGTAGATACCTTAGAAAAGAGTCCGGACACAGCTATACTTCTGTCCTTTTCTGTTTTCAAAAAATGCATTGATGATTGAATAAAGGAATAAGACATATATATCGAGCTCTGTCTTTTCAATTCCCCTATGATCAATGGTTGTCAGAAGAAATTTCGAGGGTTACATTATTTGTCAAACCGTTCATAGCCGTAAGTAGAAGTGAGAAATATGGCTATTTTGACTAGAATAACTATCAGATTTTCAAATAATGAACAACAGGGTGTTCAAATTTCGAATCGATGATTTTCATAATCAATTCCTGAGATGACTATTGCAAATTTTCGTCATCAGATATTTCTTCACTTCATTAGATATAAGAAAGATAATTTACGTGGTTCACCCTTCAGGCTCACGCCACAAACTTTCGCACTCGTGAGAAAAGTTGAACTTTTCCCACTTGTTGCACAATATACTATTTTGCTAGTGTTCAGGGTCTTTCGCCAATAGTAATTGTACACTTCATTATCAGATGAGCGAACCGAACACGTGGAACTACTTCGACCCGACCTTCTACGTGCGCTCCTCCACTCCCACCCCCACCACGCCTCCAACCCCTCCCACCGCCTTGCCCGCCCCCGTCTCGCCGCCCCTTCCCACCGCCGAGTCTCCGCCCCTCCTCGCCCCGCCCTTCGACGCCGTCGTCGCCGATCACACGTACCCGCGCCACGCCCCCGAGGGAGGGGCGGGTCGAGAGGGCGGCACGCCCATGGTGGCGACCGTTCATCTGACGATTCTGCACATCCAGAGGCAGGCGAGGCTGTTGCGGCAGCAGGTGGAGGTGATCGAGCAGATCGACAGGTGAGCGGGTTTTTTTTTTTCGGAGATTCATGAATAGATGAAGCTGGTGTTTTCTCTCGTAATCTGCCAGTTTCGTTCATTTATGAACTTTTGTGGAAATGACTGAGCTTTGTATATTTATTTAATGGTAACTTGTTTATTGTTCATTAAGAAACTAGCTTCCAGTCAGAAATAAAATTCTGGTATGAGGAAGTTGCCAGGAATAAATTGAAAATATCAAATTTAGCTTTTAATGAAGTCAATACAGTCCATAATTATGGGACTAGAATATTGAATTACTTGATAGCAAATACATTCAAGTCAAACATTGGCAAACAATCTGTTTTTCACAATGGAATAATTTTATACAATTCATTACCGAATGACTTTAAAAAATATACATGATGCAAGAAGGTTTAAAATCAATCTTGAAAAATACTTGCTCGAATGAACAATATGTGGCATGATTTGATTACTTAGAAATGAAATATAACTTTAATCTTAAGAAACAATATTAATTCGTTACCACTGAGTGGAATTCATTAGTTGACCCTTCATTATTTTTTTTATATGCATTCATGTATCCCTATCATAAACAGAAATGTTTCTTGGGGCAATAAAGACAATCAATCAATCAAGTTGATTACAAACAACAATAATAAAATAACATAAGGTAACAACAACAACAACAAAAAATCTAAAAAATCTAAAAATGCTAAATCAATCAAGTCATAGAAATAGCAACAGGGACTAATCAGTATCATGTGGTAATTCATTGAATTCAGATAGAGCAGCTTGAGTAGATTTTTTTGGCCAATCATAGAAGTAGCAGAATCAAGATGAAATAAGTTTAATTGTCTCGTGTGATGACCATGAATTTCTGAGTTTCTTATTAAAAAAATATTGGATTTCAGATTATTGTTCATGATATTATATGAAACTTTAAGAGAATCTATTTTATACAATTCACCCAATCAAAATTTTTCTGTTTTCACATACAGATCATTTGTTGGGATATCAAATGAGAGGCGATACAATACTTTCAGTGCTTTCTTATAAAGTGCAGATATTTTACTGAAATAATTTTTTGAACAAGATCCCCAAACGTTTATCAATAGTAGAATTCACCTGTATCAATCAAGGAAGAAACATACAGAATAAATATGCTTCCATCGTTTTCAAACATAGATAGTAGATCTAGGGCAATCCGCAGAAATGTGTCATCATCGTTGTCTGTTGAAAACGATGTTGGATCGGGACAAAATGTAAACAATTTCGTCTCCCCCCCCCCCGGGTTCTTATATGTCTATGATTCCTAACGTTACCAACTTATGCGCCGCCCTTCACTTCCCCAGGGCCATGCTGGAGGTGGAGCAGCTCCAGCTGGTGCGCCACCTGGTGGTCGAGCTGGTGCGGCACGTGCGCACCACAGGGGGCGGGGCCGCCGAGGATACCGCCCCCGCCGCCGGCAGCACCAATCGGGCGGCGATGTCGAGCGTGCGCCAGATGATGGCCGGCACCAGGATCAGCGATTCCAGTCCGTACGATTCGCCTGCTGAGGAGGGCGGAGCGAGTGGGTCATCGACAGGTACGAGGGAATTTCCATGTTCCACTCCATATACTTGGTACTATAACCAAACCCACCCAGGTGTTGTCTAAATATGGAACTATATAACCATATTTCATGTGATCGTCTGACAGCGTCAAACGTTTGTGAATTGGTAGAGTTTTTTCCACAAAACAGACTCTTTCTGCCTTTGTAGCTGGATTAAATCGGTACAAATCGAAGTCCAGATTACTTACCAAGCTTTCTGATGTTGTAACAAAGCACAACACTGCAGAATCCAGTATTCAACAAGGTCTTACCATACCTGGGATACAATCCAAAGTTGTAGTGATAGAATTTATGATCTCGTGATGATTTGTTACTTATTCCTCTGATAAAAAAATGAAACTACTCATAGAAATTGAAACCTCATCAATGGAGTCATGAACTGAAGCACTAACTATGATCCTCAAATATCAGAAATAATAAAATGATTTCCAAAATGAATCAATACTCTTGATTATGATGAAATATTCTACCAAGCGAACTGGCTTGGGTCGTTACAGTACACACTTAGAAATATACAATTGAATTCGAGATGATACTTATTTTTACGTCATTAATGCCATCAATCACTCTTGAAGATACACCGCCAGTCAAGTCATCAAATAATATCTCCCGTTCATGACCTATTCAGTCCAAGCATCGCCCCACCACCCCCTCTATGACTCCGCCCCCCTGCTAGACTCCACCCCACATCCTCATCTAAACCCCGCCTAAGACCACGCCCTTTGTCCGTCCGATCCATCCCTTTACCTACAAGTGGGTCGTCGGCAGGTACCTGGGAATTTTACTGTTTCTACCTCATATACTCAGTACACACTTGAAAATATACAATTAAATTCAAGATGACTTATTTTCACGTTATTGATGCCATCAATCGCTCTTGAAGATACACCGCCAGTCAAGCCCCTCTATGACTCCACCCCTTATCCTCATCTAAACCCTGCCTTAGACCACTCCCTTTGTTGGCCAACCCATCCTGTTACCTACTTACTAAAAAAATATACCCGAAATATTGTATTCTCTTATTTAATCATAGTCTAGGAAACACTTCATATGGAACATAGTTACTAAGATCGGTCCGTGGTTCGTTGTTCTAAACGTTGTGTCCGACATTAAACAATTTATCAACGAAGTTACTGTAATAGTCAATAGATAGATAGATAGATAGATAGCTCTTTATTTCCAACAGGTATACACCCAATTACAGGAAATGCTAGAAGGTAATATTCAACATAATGAATTACAAAACGACAAATATAAATAAATGTATATGCGTGCATGTAAGTAAATAATTGATTATATATTGGACAATACAGTGAAAAAACTAAAGTGAGAGAAAAAAAAAGGAGAAGTTTACAATCTATTGATGATACATTCCAAAATATATTTGAGAGTGCTCACATTGATATCACATACATCACAGATCAAATTATAATTAGAACACATTAACGACACTGGTGCCCTGCGCATTACGTTTGTTCGAATATTTTCACAATAGAAGGTCGTCTCACTTCTAGAATTAAGGCGAGGAATATGAAAGTTGATTTTTTGTGAAAGTGAGGCACAGGAAATACTATTGTGCAGTAAATTGTAGAGAAATGATATTGTACCAAAGATACGACGAGTGTGCAAAGAAATTACATCGAATCGATTCAGAAGGATTGAATGATCGATCCCTCTTTGGGGATACGTTCCTGTTTGTTTGAAAAGCAGGTATTTCAAGAATTTTCTTTGAACAGCTTCCAAAGAATTAATTTCAGAGTCGTATAAAGGATACCATATCAATGCCCCATATTCGAGTTTGGACCTCACATACGCATAGTAAACTGTGAGAGTTGTCCCTACATTGCGAAACTCCCTAGTACTTCTCATAATAAAGCCCATCATCCTATTTGCTGAAGATATAATTTCCTCAATTTGCAGAGAAAATGTGAATTCACAATCAAACTTAATCCCAAGGTCTTGATCAAAAGTGGAGCAGATTTGTTCGTAAGAAACTTAAACTCTCAATCATTTCTACAGGTCAACATTGATGAATTCATCAGAAAGTTTACAGGTTTGCATGAAGTCGTCAGAAAGAGGAACACTTAGTCATTTCTACAAAGATAAACTTTCGACAATGAATTTGTCAGAAAGATTAACTCCGACCGGTATTGATTAATGAATTCGTCAGAAAGAATAACTCTCGATCGTCTCCACAGGATTATATTATTGAATTTATCAGACGAATAAACTCATACCGATGAATTTGCCAGAGAGATAGGTTCCGACCGGTTTTAATGCATGGATTCGTCAGAAAGAATATATCTCGATCATCTCCACAGGTTTACATCAATTAATTCATCAGAAAAGACAACTCTTAGTCATATCCACAGGTTTATATTAATGAATTCGTCTGAGAGATGAACTTTTATTGATGAATTTGTTTAAAAAAACAAACTCCAACCGGTTGCGATTTTACTAAATATACAAACCACGCCCACCATAATACGTCATATCTCCAAACATTACCGATATACTCGGAGTCAGCACATCGCACTAAATATACTGTGCTCCAACGCAAGAATACACTTTTTATGATTTTGACACGAATTCGACTGAAGCTCTCTCGTTGTCAATCTCTACTCTACTGGTTAGCGCTGTCGACTTTCAGTCTGAAGGTCCATGGTTCGAATCGCTGTGAACTTGAACTTTTTTTGCAACCAATGTTTTTTTACTTCATTCTGGTTTTCCTTTTTCATAAAATATTTGAAGTCAAATAGGTTAGTGCGTTTAGGATAAACAGTCTCATTTTATTCAATTTTGTTGAAGAACTCAACTTTTGAAATATATTATTAATCAATGTGTTTCTACACTCCATTCGGTTTTCCTTCCTCAAAAATATTGCAATCAGGGATAGGTTAGTTCGTTGAGGATGAATAGTCTCTGAGTTTTGCCTAAGTAAAGTACTTTGAAGATGAGATATAACGGTGGGCGTGGTATGTGCTAGCGTACAGTATATTTAGTAAAATCGCCAACCGGTTTACGTTAATGAATTCGTCAGAAAGAAAACCTCTCAACTATTTCCATAGGTTTCAAAAAGTAGTAGGCTTAAACACCTTTAGTATCAATGAGACCTAGCCTCAGGAATAATTATCATATCTTCCATAATTTATCGTTTCATTTTTTTTACCCCTTGTTAGGACCTTCTAGTGCCACATCAGGTACAGCCGCTCCTTCCACTTCTGGGAACACTCCTGTAGAGCCGCAGGCGGGAGGATCTGGAAATCAGACCAACAGGCAACGATCGAGCAGCAGGAAAACGTATCCACCATCCAGAATGTTCAGGTAATATTCCATTATCCATTGGAAACAAGTCTAAAATGGTTCAGTTTCTCTATCATGGACAAGGCATAACTTTCATCAAAATACACACACTGGCACAATTAGGGGAACGGGCAAAATTTACACTAAGTTTGACATCAATTTTCTTTCGAACCGATCGCTCGATTCAAATTTTTTTCCTCACGAAATGTAGCTTCATTCTTCACAAATACATCTGAGGGATAATTACCTTCAAATGATGAGTCTTTCCATCATATACAGGGGTGTAAAGAAAGTACGGATTTTTCGGTATTTTTTAGACATCCTGTGGACTGAACCACTGATAATTGAAACGATTTCTCAACACCAAATTGGAGCCCAATCTATTCCGAATATTTTCGTTTTTTATTCATCTTGATATCTCAATTATTCAAGAAAATACAGAGTTTCAAAGGAAAGGTGGATATCGGTATCAATTTTACACCTCAAAACTCAAATTGGATCTGAAAATGTGTCGTTTCTTGACTAACCTAACCTAACCATGACTAAACCTTTGCCATAGGAGACAGAAGCAGTAAAATCAAATTGTTCATTTTGTTCACCTCGGCGATATACCTAGTCTTTCCCTGCCATTTATTGAATTGGTGCAGATGCGGCTCTCATATGTTAAAAGAACATTGGCCCACTGGTCATTTTCAATTATAATGCTACAGCCCTCGCCACATCAGTAGGAGTCAAATCTCTCATGTTGAATTTTCATTAATCAAATTCATAAATTGTGAATCGCTTGACTTTGACAATAATAGCATAACATTAACAAAATAGCCAACGTTGATTAACAAAAATAGCATTTCGCCAAAAGAACATTGGAGCAACTTTTATCACCCCTGCATATTCATGATAGTATTCGTATATGTGTCTTTAAACAGTAAACCGATAGATAAAACTGTAAACAATTCTCATCTTGAAGTAAAAATCCTCACAGAAACAAGTTGAAAAACGACACGTTCTCCCCAGTTCGAGTTTCGAGGCGGTAAAATTAATACCAATATCCACCTCTTCTTTGAAACTCTATATTTTCTTGGATAATTGGGATATCAAGATGAATGAAGAACGAAAATATTCGGGATAGATTGGGCTATAATTTGGTGTTGGAAAATCGTTCCAATTATCAGTGGTTCACTCCACAGGATGTCTTAAAGAATACCGAAAAATCCGTACTTTCTTTACACCCCTGTATATGATATGAAGACGAATCGTTTGGAGGTGGTTATTTCTCAGATGTATTCGTGAAGAATGAAGCTACAATTCGTGAAAAACAAATTTGAATCGAGTGATCGGTTCGAGAGAAAATTGATGTCAAACTTAGTGTAAATTTTACCCGTTCCCCTAATTGTGCCAGTGTGTGTACAGTGTGTCCAGTTTTCGATGCTTTTGCATGATATCTCAGTTATCTTTGGAGATAAAACCTTGCAGTTTTCGCGGTCCTGTGCCACTTTTTTGTGAAACTTAAGATGGCCTAATCAGATTTTGCAGGACTGTTTCCGTTTATGAGATACAGGGCGATTTTGAAAATTTATACTTTTTGGACCCCCTCTATATCTACGAAGTTTATCAGCGAAAATGTCAAATCAAAATCTTGACCCATAGAGAATTTTATGCAGAATCCAGTGGCGCACAAAAATTTTTTTTTCGGGGTGTGGTTTTGAAAATACGACTCAAACTTATGATTTTTTAAATTGAACACCCTGTATTTTATAAGGCTCATTGAATTCCTTATTTTTTTCCCTTCGAAATGATATATGATGTATGAATATAACATCTTCAAAAATGTTAAAAAATCACTAAAACATTGAATTTTAATAGTGGGCTATGGGTTTTTCGAGGGATTTTCATGTAAAGAAATTTACAATTGAAGGAATATTTCCTTTGATTGTTCCATGAAGGGTGAAATAACAATTTCGACACTAATTATCTTGCAATACACAAGACTTAGATACCTGATATCCACAAATATATAGTAATGAAAAGTAGAATAAGCACCTGATTGAATATTTAATAAAACAATTGAATATCGAAATTATACAGTGATTTATTCATTGAATTGTTCAAATTGATCTCCATTTTTCATCACAAACTTTCTCAATACATATTGATCATTGAAAGATGTCTTTGTAATTCCTGGAAAACTGCCTCTGTTGTTGCATAAAGTTCTTCAAGTATGTTGGGCCACTCACTGTATTAGGAAGTATTGAGAAAGTTTGTCAACTGTATGTTGGGTAAAATGGATATCAATTTGAACATGTCAATGAATAAGTTACTGAATAATTCCGGAATTCAATTATTTTAGTAAATATTTAATCAGGTGCTTATTCTACATTATGAACTTTTTATTACTATTTATTTGTTGCTATCAGGTACCCAAGTTTAGTGTTTTGTTAATTAATAAGTGTTGATATTGGTTTTGACCTCTCCATGGAAAAATTTGAAGAAATATTTCTTCAATTGGAACGTTTTTCATAAGAAAAATCCATAACCAACTATCAAAATTCAATATTTTAGTGATTTTGAGCAATTTTGAAAATTTTATATTCATTCGTTATATATCATTTTGAAGACAGAAAAATAAGGAATTTAATGAGCCTATGAAATACAGGGTGTTCCATTTAAAAAATCATAAGTTTGAGTCGTATCTCCAAAACCATACCCCGAAAAAAAAAAATTTAAGTGCGCCACTGGATTATGCGTGAAATTCTCTATACGATAAGATTTTGATTTGACATTTTTGTTGAGAAACTTCGTGGATATAGAGGGGGTCCAAAAAGTATAAATTTTCAAAATCGCCCTGTATCTCATAAACGGAGACAGTCTTGCAAAATCTGATTAGGCCATCTTGAGTTTCACAAAAAAGTGGCACAGGACCGCGAAAACCGCAATGTTCTATCTCCAAAGATAACTGAGATATCAGGCAAAAGCATCGAAAACTGGACACACTGTACATTGATATAATTTTTTTTAAACTTGTAATATTTCATTTTGCGAATTACAACAAAATGATCGTTGGAATGTAATTTCTTAGGTTGGCCAAACAGTGTCGCAGGCCTTCTGTTCTCCATTTCTTCTCGAGACGTAATTCTAGCCGCGCAGATCGAGGCCACAGGCAAAATTCGCAGTCCCGTCCTGCAAACAGAAATGCTCCCACCACTCAAGATACTTCGAGCAACAGGTAGGAAGTTTATTTATTCGAAATAATAATAGTGATAACATAATATACATCAACGTGTGTTTTTTTTCAAGTCAACAGGGATATTTGGTTTTTTAAATATATAGGGCAAACATCTTGAGAAATAGGAGTTCGATTCGAAGAATACATTGCTCCTTTTGATTCAGTTATACCTAATAGATTTGAGAAATCAACTTTTATTTGAAACATTCTTGAGAGTACACAGCCTATAACTTTTAAAACAGATCACAACACTCAATACATGAATCAAAATGAATTGAACATATTTTCTTATCGCGATTATTATTCTGACATTTTACTTAACGATCAGTTAGACCTCAATTATTTATTTATTTATTTATTTATTGAACAAATAACTTCCAGACAGAATAGGCTCTGGTATAAGGAAGTACATAATTATATACCTATAGGTAAACATAGCATCATTCAAAATATATCAACACCTGTAAATTGGCAAACAAAGAATAATATTTGTAAATAAAAAAAAAAAAAAAAAAAGGCATGATTAATTTTATCCAGTCCGCTGAGAAATAATCAGTTTTTTTACTTCATTTTTGAATATACCTATATTTCTGCAATTTTTTATATTATCAGGTAGTTTATTGAATTCAGTCAAGGCTGAATGAGTGAATCTTTTTTGTCCGATTAGGGAGCTAGCGGCGTCAAGATGGAACAAGTTATATTGTCTAGTTTCATGATTATGAATTTCAGAATTCCGTATCAAAATAATATTCGACTTCAATTTTTTATTTATGATATTATATGATATTTTGAGAGTTTCAATTCTATATATTTCATCTAAAGAATACGTATTTGTTATTTCATACAATTGATTGGTTGGTGTATCAAATGGGAGACGATACAATACTTTTAACGATTTTCTATATAATGTTGATATTTTATTGAAATTATTTTTTGAACAAGATACCCAAACATTCATTAAATAGTTGATACGACTTAGTATATGAGAGTAGAGAATCATGTTTGTAATTTTAATATGAAATTTGGGACATCTTCTCAATGCACCAATAATTGGAGATATTTTTTTGTCAGAACATCAATATGTTTGTCCCACTTCAACTTGTCATCAAACCAACTACCAAGATATTTTATCTGGTCAGTTTGTTTCAAGAGTTCATTTTTTATTTTAAGGTTGAGGTGAATTTTTTGTTTATTTTTTTGGTGAAAAATCATATATTCTGTTTTGTTAGTACTTATCGATAAAAGGTTAGATTGGAGCCATTTTTCAAATATTTTCAAGTCTTCATTTATCATATTTTCTAAATCTGAAGGATTCTTGCCTTCATATAAAAGTACTGTATCATCTGCATACATGGTATATTCACACGCTAGACCAATTTCACTGATATTTTGAACATAAAGTAAATATAGTATAGGTCCTAAAACAGAGCCTTGTGGGACACCCTTATTGATTAATAGTTTATTTGACACAGAGTTGTTTGATTTTGTATTGATTGTCCTATTTTCAAGATATGAATTCAAAATATTTCTCACAGTGCCTCTGAGTCCCATTGTTTCTAAGTTTTCTAAAAGTGTTTCATGATCAACTGTGTCAAAAGCCTTTTTGAGATCAATGAAAACAGCTATCACATAATTTCCTGAATCAAGTCCTCTCTGGATTGAATCTATCACTTGTAGTACTGCTGCTTGTGTTCCACTGTTTTCTTGAAAACCAAATTGATTAGAATCAAAGCTATATTTTTTGCTGATGAATTCTACAATTCGTTTCTTGAGAATGTTTTCAAAAATTTTAGAAAATATGCTTATTAAAGCAATTGGTCTATAGTTAGTTGGATCCTGAGCATTTCCATTTTTGTAAATAGCTCTTACTGATGCATGTTTTAATTCGTGTGGGAAACTTTCTTTCATGAAAGATTCATTGATCAATTTTGATATTGGTGTAGCTAAAATGTGTCTCAATTCAAATATGTCTTTAGTAATCAAACCTTCTGGATCAGGGCATGTCTTTTTTAAATCATGAATAATAGAAATGATTTCGCTTTCATCAGTGGCAAACAGAAGCATTGTGGAATCATTATATAGTTCACCAGTGTTGAATTTGTTTTCTTAGTAGGTAATAATATGTATTTGCTATCAACCTTTTCAAGTTAATCCGGTACACGATATATGAATAGCTATCAAGGGTGGGAAAAGTGTCTATCTACGATTCTTGGATTAAAAATCTGTTCTCTTTCAGATTCCCGCCGCTCACGTCGATCTACTCTTACGATTCGAACAGGCTGGCCGTGATGACCAGGCGGTTGGAGCAGCTGCTCACCGAACAGATGAGGGCGTTCACGTCGCCCGACAGGCCTAGGGCCGCTGCGGGGGCCAGCAACAGGTCGACGGCGACGATCGATTTGGGCGAGCACATTTTGGCTCTGCGGCTGCACGGGTGCGTGCTAAGGATGAACAGGGTGTTGGGTGAGTCAGAGTTGCAAAAAGTTGATGGAATATCGTATTTTTTCGATTGAATCGGGATTTTTTTCTATTCATTCTGATTTTTTCCTCAAATATGAGAACTAACTAACTCATTATTTCGTATTATTTTTCTCTATTCCGTCCAAAAATGTTTGCTGTCTAGAAGTACAGTTAGACAATCTCGGCGACATACAGAAAAAACTTGGGTTTTTTATGTACTCAAATCTTATTAAGTACCTATGTAACTGTATTTTGTGATATTTGTGAGTATTTTTGAATTGAGAATCAGGAATATGATTATTTTTGCATGAGAATGTTTGTTTTGTTTGTTTCTACTTTGTTGCAAATATGTTTCTGTTTATCAAAAGTACGTAATGTTTTGACGTCAAAGGTTTATTACCATATCCTTTCTTGGAATCCGTATAGCATATCTGAAGGTTCATTCAAAGTTAGCATGATACACAACTTTAAGGACACAACAATTCACATGCTTAGATAGTATTCTTATCGCATAGCACACTTTACATAATTCATTAATGTGGACATTCCAGTTAAGGTAACAGTCTATATGGAATTTGGTACTAGGTGCTATTTGCAACTCTTTATTATTCAACACAATATTACTAGGCACTGCCTGGTTTGCATGTCTAGTTGTAAATATAACAACATTTGTTTTTTCTTCATTTACAAATTGTTTATTACCTGAAAACCACTAATTTATTAACTTGAACATCAAGTTGGAGTTGTCTACTATAGGTTGGAACGTTCTTCCTTCAATCAAAATATTTGTATCATCAGCATAGTTTACCATTTTACAATCAGAGTATGGTGTCAGGACATCACACACATCAGTGAGGTATACTATGAAATGTATTGGGCCAGTAATGCTGCCCTGGGGTACACCTATTTCAATGTCTGTTAATTGTGATGTGACAGTAACATTATCTTTCTGGACTGATACTTTTTGCTTTCTATTGCAGAGGTATGATTTGAACCAATTCAATGGCATACCTCAAACCCCGTATGCCTCCAGTTTATGCAGTAGTATATTGTGGTCTAAGCAGTCATAAGCTTTCGATAAATCTAGGGAAAATCCTAGAGCTACATTCTTGTTTTCTAAAGCATTAAATATATATGCTGGACAAACTGAAACGCCGCTGTTGTTGTTGATTTGCCCCTTTAATACCAATGTTGTGCATCATTCAGTAGTTTACTTGTAATTAAAAACCGCATAAGTCGATTGTAAATTGGTTTCACTATAGCAGTTTTCAACTTTTCTGGAAAAATGCCATATTGCAAAGAGTTGTTCAAGATATATGTTAAAACTTTTGATATATACATTATGCTCGATTTCATTATTCGAGTTGGGATTTGATCTTCTTCTTCTTCTTCTCTGCACAGGTGGGCGGGTGCGTAGACCCCTGCACTCAGGCCTCTTCAGTCGGGCCCATTGTGCGCCCACTTGTCCTGTGAATCAGCTGGGCATGCCGATTTCTTTGACGAAATTCAGCAGCTTCCTCAGCTGAGTCACTTTCACATCCTTTGGGTGCAGTACAATGCTCCCAAAGGCAGCTTTCCTCTGATGCACCAGCGCGGGGCATTCAGTGAGTATGTGTGATGATGTTTCATCATCCTCCAAGCACCATCTGCAGATGGGATCATCTTTGATCCCTATGAGTTCTAGGTGCCTGTTGAGGTGGTTGTGCCCAGTTAAGAGCCCAACTACCATCTTGAGATCCCTTCTATTAAGTGACAGGATCTCTCTTGTGAGCCTTTTTGAAGGTTCCTTTATATGGAGCTTTGATTGTCTCATTCCTGGTGTGTCCCACCATGTTTCAAGGAAATGCCTCCGTAGCATTTCCTTCATGAAGGACATAGCCGTACTATTGGGTATTCCCAATATCGGTTCTGGTCCAATGGGTGTCGTTCCTGAACCGATCTTGGCTAGTCTGTCTGCCTCCTCGTTCCCCGGGACACCAGAGTGTCCTGGAACCCACATGAGGCTGACTTTCCTAGTTTTTGCCATATTTTCTAAGGCACTTCTACATTCGGACACCAATTTAGTTGTGATCCTATTGGATCTCAATGCCATAATAGCAGCTTTACTGTCCGAGCATATGGTGACTGGTCCACGTCCACTTCTGCCGAAATTTTCTTGGACACACTCAGAATTGCAAACACTTCGGCCTGGAAAACTGAAGCGTATTTGCCAAGAGGTACTGAGATTCCTTTCCCTGTTTCTCCTTCATATACTCCTGCACCAGACCCGCCACCAAACCTTGAGCCATCCGTGAACCAGGTTGATTCGTTGGCAGTAAGCAAGCCTGGTCTATTGCCAGTCCATTCCTCTCTTGTAGGAAAAATGACATGCGGAGCTTTATTGAAATTCAGAACTGGCAGAGTGCTGTCCCTTACCATCAGCAGACTGGGACAGCTTTCTTCGGCCTTGTTCCATGTTAGGGAGTGTCCATAGTCTGCCTTGTCGATCCATTGGTTTGCACCTTTGAGTCTGTAGGCAGTGCGCATGGCTTCATGCTCTACAATCAGATGTAAAGGGGACAAACCTAGTAGGACCTCAAGGGCCCTAGTAGGCGCTGTCCTCATAGCACCTGTCATTCCTAAGCAAGCCAGTCGCTGAACTCTATCCAGTTCATGTCTGGTTTTGTTCTTTTAAGTACTGGTCCACCATACGATGGACCCGTACGTTAGTGTTGGGCGAATAATTGCCGTGTATATCCAGTGAAGGGTCTTAGGTGATAGGCCCCACGTTTTCCCGAAGGCTCTTCTGCATGCCCAGTAGCAGCATATAGCCTTCTTGGTTGGGATTTGATCATCTCCACTACTCATTTTTTGGAATTATTCACTATCTTTAATATTTCTTCTTCCATGATTGGTTTTATAAACATAGATTTGCTATTAAATGTGTGTTTTGTGAATCTATTTTTATCCTCAGATTTTTTATGGCATCTGTTAAATAAATAATATATAATAAATAAATATATAATATATAATAATATCTAATATAATAAAAAAGAAATTGCTATTTTTTCCATTGAAAAATGTCGAAATTCCTTCAGAAAACGATGATTCTCCCTCCCTAGGCTACCCGATCGGAGACAGCCGAGCCGACCCCACCGCCGCCGTCACCAGGGACGGCGTTTCACGCTACAACGCGCGCCACCTCCTCAGCCTCGTCATCGACAGCGTCAGCCGGCACGTGGAGGAGCTCGGCCAATCGGACGCGTCGGCCAGCACGCGTGCGCAGACGCACGGCGTGCTCGCCATGTCCTTGCTGCTGACCGAGCTGCTGCTGCTGGTGGTGGTGGATTCGATACCGCCCCCTAGCGGCATCGATTTCAATCCGGAGAGGGGGGCGCTCGCCTCGCGGATCGATCAGCTGTGCGGACAGATGTTGCAGAATCGGTGAGAAGTTTGGTGATTTAAGGCTGCGACACAATTGTAGTTTTATGCAATATGTTTTAAGGTTGAAGATTTAAGATATATGTAATGAAAATATAAACAGGATGAGAAACAGAATCCAAATATAACAGCTGGAATTCCATCAATAAGGTTGTTTGAGGTGCGTGACCGAAAACGATTATTAGATTATGTTGGTATAATCGAAGTCATTATAGAATAGAATAGTATTACTTAATAATTAGTACTAGGGACAGAACATTACATTATGTTTAATACAAGTCAAATACATACAGTAGAATACAAATAATGATAAAAATCTAGAGGCCTCTGAGAGATGTACATAATTTCCTTATCTTCCCTTATTGTAACAAAGGGGTATACTTGCTTCATTGATATCGTCTATTTTATAATGTTCTATTGCAACTAATTTCGATTTTATGTTTTTTTTGCAACTTGTGAAGGTTTTGATTTGTTTGATATCGTTTGGGAGCATATTATAGAACCTTAAGCACTGATAATAAGAACCTTTCTCAAAAAGGGATGTCTTATGTATATATGTTTGTTTTTGTATACAAAATTGATACATTCAAGGATATATGCACCAGGTAATGTCAAGAGATTGAGTTTTTTAAAACAGCCACGACAAGATTCTGAAGTTTTCCTTTTTTGAATGACAAACACTTCTTGACTGTGTGAACCACCCCAAAAGATTATACCATAATACATGATTGAATAGAAATCTCCGTGTCATCATGATCTACAACTGTCCCAAGTGCTTTCAGAGCATAACTAGCCGTACTGAGTCTACCACAGAGCAGTGATACATGGTCTACCCATCCCATATGTTTATCAATGGTAACGCCAAGAAATTTCGCAGAGTTGGCTTATGAAATAGCACAATTATTAAAATGTATGTTTTCTGTAAAAATCTGTGAGTTTCTGCTGTGTCTAAAGAGGATGCAATTTGTTTTAGTGATGTTTAATAGTAGAGAGTTTTCATGAAACTCAATGCCTAATCCATAAATTTGTGTTCTGTCGTTCGTCACACGGACATGTGTGTTCATTTCGTAATACTCATATCCTAAATTATAAAACATAACTCTAATAACATTAAAACTCCAATTGTGTCGCAGCCTTAACCTACTTATATTAGCTTGGTATATGTATGTTTGTAACGGAATCTTCGAACGTGATTTTGGCACAAACGTCCAATTGATTTGAAAATTGACAGGTCTACATAATTCTGGTGGCAATACAAAAATTGATATTGGGGGTTTCCGGAGTCGGTGATTATGATTCTACCGCCAAAATTTGAAAACTCAAGATGGCAAATCCAATATGGCTGACGAGTTTGGTAATTATAACCCGATTTTATTAAAAATTGGTATCTGGGTGTTTCCGAAGTCGGTGATTATGATTCTTCCGTCAAAATTGGGTACTCACAAAAACTATAAATAAATTGAAAAGCACGCTTTTGTAATTAGCCGAACTAGAAACAATCATTATATTCTGTTTTGTATTAATTTTTTTCAAAAAACTATGTGATCAGTGAATTTTCATAAATAGAGAAATGAAAATTTGAATTTTGGTTGTGAGCAAACATCACTTGTTTTGGTAGTATTGAAAAAATATAATCGTTTTATTTTCGTGACAGGCAGTGTACATACTCTCAGCAACTGACGAGAAGCCTGAGACTAATGCGATTGACGATGAGGCACGCTCACAGTGCTCTAGGACAGACCTATCACGCCAGAAGGAACGCCATGCTACCGAGACACAGCACCGACAGAAGATTACTGCTCGGTTCAATAAACAGGTCAATATTCTTTTTTCCATAAATGAAAAAACTTGTTTTTATTGCAATAGTGCAGCTATACCAATTCTGCTTCAATCGACTCCTATCTCACCCATGCATTATTCTTAACTGGAATACCTGCCTAACCCAACGCAATTTGGATGTACCAACGTCGTTCAAGCATCTAACCTAACCTTCAATTCATAGATCTTATTCAATCTGTGTTAATGCAATGAGTAATGCACATATTATACCAATTCTGCTTCAAACGACCCCTATCTCACCCATGCATTATTCTTAACTGGAATACCTGCCTAACTCAACGTAATTTGGATGTACCAACGTCGTTCAAGCATCTAACCTAACCTTCAATTCATAGATCTAATTTAATCTGTGTTAATGCAATGAGTAATGCACATATTATACCAATTCTGCTTCAATCGACCCCTGTCTCACCCATGCATTATTCTTAATTAGAATACCTGCCTAACCCAACATAATTTGGATGTACCAGCGTCGTTCAAGCATCTAAATGTGTTAATGCAATGAGTAATGCACATATACCAATTCTGCTTCAATCAACCCCTATCTCACCCATGCATTATTCTTAACTGGAATACCTGCCTAACTCAACGTAGTTTCGATGTACAGCAAATTAGAATAAATTAGTCTAACCTAGGTCTAACCTACCCTTGCGTGTACCAAGAGGATGAATTCACCCCTACAGGGTAGGTTAGAGAGGCACATCCAAACTGCGTTGGGTTAGGCAAGTATTCCAGCAGGTCTTTCCAGTATCGTAAAATTCGACTTTTTTTCGCTATAATCTTCTGAAGGGAAGTTGAAAACGTTATCCCAACCACATCGGAAACGTTGAAAAACTAATGAACTATCCAATATTGATTGATTGTCTTTATTACCCCAAGATATTGAAAATGCTATTTCAATATCTGTAAATTGAAATGCTACTGAGCTGTGATGTTAGTGTCTTCTTGCAATATGTTTGGAGTTCTGGCGGCTGGTAATCACTACGCTGTTGTCAGGTCTCTGTAAAATCCTTGAATTGATCCTTGAAATTAACTTTACTGTTCTTATTTCTCGATATTATTGACAAGAAGACAGTGATGCTTGTACTAAAATCAATGAAAATAGAACCAAGTAAGTAATTAAGTATTGATTGATTTAGAATATGTTTCATTCCCTATGGTAGATAAGTATAGGTGGGTACATAATAGGTGAGTACCTAAACTTGAAAGTAATTCATTGAAAGGGATTTGAAACTGAATACTGAATGTCATGAATATCTGCACTGTAATTCGATACAATATGAAATTCCACTTTTAAATATTCCTTCAGTAGAAATTAAGCGACTAACTAATTATGCAATGAACATTTTTAATACCATGAATTTTCAGGTAAGTTCTTATTAGTAGAGTTATTCATCAGAATCTGTATTATTTGCTGAAATGTAAAAATCGAGGAATGAATATCCGACTAATCATAGCTTTCTGTCCAAATTGGCAACATTGTCAAGTTCGTCGTACAGTTTATTGGCACCCGCGAGAAGGTGAGGGAATAACAAATCCAAATTGCTCGCACTCTGACACCTTTCTCGGATATGTCTGCTCGTTTGAATTCGATCGTTTATTTTGGCGTTTTCAATAATTTTTGTACAATGAATTGATGGAAAAAAATCTCTAAAAATTATTGCAAGGTATTCCAGAGATATATTCTTTCTAGAAATGACTAGAAAGGCCCATTAAGAATAATGCGTGGGTAAGATAAGGGTGGAATGAGACAGAATTAATATAGGAGCACTACTCATTGCATCAACAACACATATTAAATGCAAAGAAAAATTCGATACCCATTGTTAAATCCGGCTCGAAGGACCAAATGTTAAATCGTGTTTTTCGTCAATTAATCTCGTTTTCAAAATATCAGCTTTTATTCAAAGACTCTGACCAACTCCTTCATGTTTATCTCTGACACTTATGTAACTAACTAATAATTCTTTTTTTGTTTCAATATATACACAGGGTCAATATATACAGGGTCATTATAGATAATAATTGTTATCAAGACATCACACCCATCTACATAGATGCCTGATTTTCAATGACATCAATAGAGCAAACATTCAGAACTCTCAACAATAACCTGAAACTTTAATGTTTTCTTGTTTATTACTCGCCAGTTTTCAACGTCATAATCCACCGTTATATTGATAGCCTGAAAACCCCGTTATAATCGTAGATTAAACTCGCATTGGACCGCGTTTTATATGATTCATTCAAACAAATTCGCTTTTGAAGATGCCTGAGGACCATCAGCCGTCGCAGGCAAACAGCCCCCTCCAATCAGAGCAACACTCCTGCGCAAGATGCCGCTGCAGCTGCGGCCGAGGAGGCTTCGACTGCCGCTCCTTCTTCTTCTTCTTCTTCGTCTCCTGCTCCGGCCAACTCGGCTGCGGCCTACAACGACTGGTACTCGACCATTTCGGACCTGATCGGCCAGTACTCGACGCCGAACAGGGACGACGACGCCGACAATCGGCCGTCCACGTCTGGCAGAGATAGGGTGGCCGCCGCCCAGAATGACGTGTCGAGCAATAATGACAATAGCGACGATGATGATAATTTAGGTTAGTCAAAGTTGGGGAATATGTCTAATATAGACCCCCTACGTCCATATCACAGAAAAGCAAAAATGCCACAATTCCCACCGACAGATGGTGAGGAAACTAAAATCTCAAGACTAAGAGATTCTAGGTAAATTTCGTGAACTCGTAAATTTTTTTCTTCTAGGTTATTCTTTGAACACCAGCAGCAATCTCTACCGTGCCAATAACATCAACTTGGCTCCCAGTAGTCGAGAATCTTCTTCTCTTTCTTCAACTTCGAGACCCTGGAACGTCCCTTCGGTACATGTCAACGATGTTCCTGTGACAGAACCGACTAGTTCATTCGCTCAGGTAATAGAGGTCCAATGTTTTCTATGTTGGAAATTGTTAATATGAAATATTCGGTTTGTTCCTGAAAAAAGGGTATTTACTAAAAACTGCAAAAATTTTTTTGGTACTTACGTATTTTTGTCTGAAAAACACGCATTTGATAATGGAAATGTGAACAAACCACTATTTATCGAGATATTTCAAGAAAAAGTTCGAAATTTCGCCTTCTTCCTCCCCTTGTGTTGGGGGCATTTAAAGCTACTTGCTCTTCTTATTTTGTCATTGGACACTTTATATACTCATAATGTACTTCGATGACACATCTTTATGTAGAAAATTCAACAGGAAATATGATTTTTATTGCGAGTTTTTTATATTTAATGAACAAGCATTCCAGATGACGGTCATTTAATCAATAGTCAATCAAAATACGAGATGTCAATTGTCAGTAGATTGCTTTGGAATGACATTACACACGTCATCATTTTGAATAAAATAGTATACAAACCTCGGTAGGAAGTTTCATTCCTGTCTCGAGATTATAGCTAACCTCGACGCTTAACTAATTAAACTCGTCTCGGTTAACTAATTAAACTCACGCCAGGAATGAATCACTTCCCACCTCAGTTTGTAATATACTATTATCTGTTCTACGTTGTTTTTGCCAATTATTATCTCATGCATTTCTTTCCTAATATTTTTATAGCTTCTTTCTATACTTATACAGGGTGATCCACGGTGAATGGCCTATTAGAAGTACCTGGATAACGAAGAGACAGAACATTGTGAAAATTGGGATCCTTTGATAATTGAACATTCTCTATCCGCCTAAAATATTTTCATCGATACAGTGTTGCCACTTGTTATTTCAAATGGAACACCCTGTATTTTATTGCATTTTTAGATTCCTCCTGAAGAGCTGATTTTATCAATGCATCACACTTGGGGTCTAGCAGGAATGATTACAGAGATATAGGGTGTTCAAAATCGAAATTTTTCAATTTTAGGATTTTTTTCTGTCGAAACTATTGATTATCGATCAAAACGGCACACATGTCCCTATCTTAACTTTTGATTCACTATCTACTGGAATTTAATTGGAAAAAATACAGGGTGGTCCAAGAGTCAGAATTTTGATCACCCTGTATCTGTTCCAATTAAATGTCAGTAGATAGTGAATCAAAAGTTAAGATAGGGACATGTAAGTCGTTTTGATCGATAATCAATAGTTTTGACACAAAAAATTCCTGAAATTGAAAAATCTCGATTTTGAACACCCTATATCTCTGTAATAATTCCTGCTAGACCCCAAGTGTGATACATTGATGAAATCAGCTCTTCAAGAAGAATCTGGAAACGAAAAAAAAAAATACAGGGTGTTCCATTAGAAATAACAAAGTTGCTAGTTGTTTCTGATAGAAGTGGCAACACTGTATCGATGAATATATTTTAGACGGATAGAGAATGTCCAATTATCAAAGCATCTCTATTTTCAGAATGTGTTGTCTTTTCGTTCTCCAGATACTTCTAATAGGTCATCCACCGTGGATCACCCTGTATACTTATACAGAGTGTACCTTAAAGACATGTAAATATTTGAGGGGGTGATTCTCTGACACATTTCAAGAAGAAAACTTCATATGAACGTATGTCCTAAAAGTCTAACTTAACAGGGTGATGAAGTTTTGAAAAATATTCAGTTTTTTCATGATAACTAAGGCAATATTGTATACATCTGTATAAAAGTTGGTACACTTTTCTTATGCATCATGGTGCATTTTTTGATGTACGAAAATTTTCATTTTCTCTACCAGTGGCACCGTTACGGAAGAATTATTGTTTATATTTTACTTGAAGGTGAGTAACGACGAAAATTTTTTGAATTTCATACAATGCTATAAAAGGCTATTTAATTATGTACAAAAAAGATCCTCTGTTGATACTCCATAGAACGCTTCGTTTTCGAGAAAAATCGGAAAAACGAGACCATACTTCAAATTTTGATGTTTGAGTACTCCATTCAGGACATCCATTACTGGATAACCACCGTATGTAACATTTTAAAATTTGTATATCGATTCAGTCACATAGCAGACTGAATTTTGCCACCACGAAAAGCTGTACAGGGTGGACAAAAAAATTATCTATGCATATTTTCAACATTGAAATGGGTCGAAGATATAAGCATATCATTAAGGAACACCCTGTATACTTTCTTCCAGGGTTGGCATGAATTAATTCATGTGAATTAAATCAGTGATTTAATTCGTGAATTAATTCCATTGACTTTTTTCTGAAAAGTCATGAATTCATTCAAATTTTTGAAAATGAGACACATTGCACTATTACCTTTGATATTAACTAGTTTAAACTGAAAAATTCGATCGTATTTTGGCAAGACTTTGTAATTTCAAGCATGACAGAGATTTTTTACTAACAGATTTATACAGTATCAAGTGTCATCCATAAAGTCCATAACATATGAGAACAGGTTTATTATCACAGCATCGAATTTTTTTATCTCGGCGATCCATTATGCATATCCGATAACTTGAAAATCGATTTTGACACATGTCACGTGATCACTGGTATGGTGATAAGTAAAAATAATACTATAAAGCGACGAAAAGTGGGGTTAGATAACAAAATATCCATAAACATTTCTTATCAAGTTGCTATTCCACATTCAGTTTCGAGCAATTTTTGAAGGAGAATTGAAAATAGCTATATTTTTTCGAATATTCTTCAATTTTGTTACAATTCTCTTTTTTTTTCTGACAGTAGTGATGTTGATGATGTACAAGTTGAATAGAATTCAATTTCATGCTCACATATGGAGTTTCCAGCCATTATTTGAGAAAACTGAAAATAGCTATTTTTATTTTTTTAAATAACTTCCCATCGAACCCCACTTTTTGCCACCGTAATTTTTTGAATTTACCGCCATACCAGTGATCAAGTGATATGTGTCAAAATCGACATTTAATTAGTAAGACATGCATAATAGATTCCCGAGAATTTTTGAAGGGAATAAAAACATAGTTTTTTTGTTTCTTTTTTTCTATTTCGCTTTGGGTAAATGAAATTTGTTTGTTTTTTTTTTCAAATGAATTAATTCAAAAAAGTCTGACTCAATTCAAAAAGTCGGACTTTGATGACTTTTTTTATAAAAGTCATGACTTATTCCAACCCTGCTTTCTTCACTTATTACCAAATATTATTTGGTTATTCACATAATTTTTCCCCGTTTCAGCGTCTGATGTCGCAGCGACAGCGCGCCGTCGCCGATCGCATGTCCGAGCTGCGATCCAACCAGCAGCCGCCCGGTGGCGGCGGTGGCGGCGGCGGCCTATTCCGGCCCCGCTTCCTGCACCCCTTCTACGCCAGCGTCAACCCGTTCGACGCCGATCTCGACGACGCGCACCGCGACCAGGTCTACGACAGCGACATGGTGACCACGGTGACGCCCAACCATCGGATACAGGCGTGGGATGTGGCCGATTGGAGTGTGCCGAACATCGGCAGTCGTAAGTAGAACGGGCAAAGTGGAAGTTTCCTTCAGATGAACTTCCATAAAATAAGTTCGGAAGTGTTTTGATATACACCACAAAAGATATATCGAATATACTGGGAGGATACCAGCTGACCGTGGAAGATATAGCACAAACAGATCCCCTCAATATCCTCAGATTCCTAAAAGAATTGAAGCTTGACGGACTGCTCTACATCTAAATAATCTGAGACTTACAAGTCCTCCATATTGAAGTTCTGACCAATCAAAAAGTGTACAACTATTGTCGTCACTCTATTTATAAAGTCACTCTAGTCTTCCCCTTGTGTCCTTGACTTCAGTGTTCCAACGTAAGATGATGGAAATTTTATGTTGGTAACATTGGAAATGGAAAAAATAGAGAAGAAGATCATATCAACCTCAATATAAAAAAGGTTAGAATGGTCTTCTTCTCCATTTCTTCTCATTTCCAGTGTTGCCAACATAAAAATTGCATTATGATGGAACACTGAAGACAAGGACAGATGGGGAAAACGTCTCTTTTCTCTCTCCACGCTAGCTGAACTGCTCTAGTTCATGTAATTTTAGGGGTGGCGGACTGTAACTGTAATTCGATATTGAATTCCGACAATTTCTGGATACAATTTGTCCGATACGGTCGAAGATCTCACGGAGTTCTATTATATTCAGATATTCATTCGTTTGTATTGCAGATACTATACTTATTTTATCGAATAATATTATAGAGGATCTACAAATCAGGTGGATTGTTACTTGAAAAAAACAGCAATTAAGACTCGATAGACATAGTCTCTACCGTTCCTCGTAGTTGGACTGATCAATCTCATTGAATTTGGATTGTTTGCAGTTTGGTTCTATAATTATTTATAATAGTTATCCATTCGACTTGGTCAATGTCGACTGATACGATAGTTTCTTAGAATTCACCAACGAGACAGCTATTAGCAGTCCTCAATTTCTCAGTTATGAGATCTAACAAGTCTTCAACAATATTTGAGCGCCACTTGACCGTTTTTGATATCACGTCTCGTTTCCACGCATGTTCAACGAATAGGAATGTATTATTGGTTGTCTAGTTATTTGTTAGGTGGCTCACAATCATTGTTGAAAACCATGTAATTCTTTGAATGAGACTGTTGGACTGATTCTACTCAAATATTATTTAAATTGTGATCAAAAACCAATGTTGAAAAATTTGTTTTTTCTTCAAGCTACAAGAAACGTAGTGGTAAGCGAATGCAAAATTCACAACGACGCTAGCGTCGATATTGCCAAAGACGGGACGATTCTGGTAACCCTACTACCTTCCGGCGGCTACCTCAATGTCACAAATAGATTGGGTAAGTACTCAGAACATAACCTATGAAAATAAACATGCCGTTTTTCCTATAATCATTCCGACAAAACTTGTGATAGAAATAAGACATGTGTAGTCGGTAGTAATTAGTAAACAACACCTCATATTTTTGTCTATTTGACAGGTGTTTATAGCTTGAGATGGGAAACGCTAGGCCAATGCCTCTACACGACTAGCTTCGAGCAAAACGCCGTTTCCGTCTCTTTGTCGCCCCTCGGGCGCCATTTGGTGGTCGGATTGGCATCGCGCATCGTCCCGAGTGACAGGTAAACTTGAATTCTATGACCTTTACTTTGTTCCTCAAGAGCAACAGGATCAGGAAAATTGAGCTCTTTTCTACCTTGAACGAGAGAGAGAGAGAGGAAAGTTCTCTTCCATCTCTCTCTATGCTACCAACTTGGCCGCATTGAAATATAGAGAGGTCCGATAAATGTCTCATTGTCTAACCTCTAGTCTGTGCCACTGAACTATTTTCGATGTTATAATGATATCCTTTTCTTCTAAACTAATTGAGATATGTCACTTGGACAAAACTGAATCAGTTAACATGCATTCTAACTAATCGAATTCTTCGTAAAAAAACACTGATTCAGTTTCAGTTATTTTGTTAACATCGTTAATTTGACACTCTGTTGAATACAAAAATGGTTCAGTGGCACAAACTAGATGTTAGACAAGGAAAGATTTATCGGACCTCTATATTTCAATGCGGCCACGTTGGTAGCATTGAAGACAAAGATGGAAGAGGAGAGAACTTTCTCTCGTTCTAAGTAAAAAAGAGTTCAATTGAACTCAAATGACTGAGTATTTGTGTGATTGCATGAGAAAGTGAGTGAATAAATGAATGAATTAGTTATTAGTGACAGTGAGAAAGATAAAAAGCGAGAATATTCAGAGCGTTGATGGGGGAGAAGGTGAGTTGAGGGAAGATATGGCACTTATTTCATTTATATATATGATAAACAACATAGGGCCCAATATAGATCCTTGTGGCACCCCCATGTTAACGTCGCCAAGTGATGATGAGACATTTGTATTTTCTCTCTCATTTCTATAATTAACGCAAACAAACTGCTTACGCTCAGACAAAAATGATGTAATCCAATCAAGTGGGGTTCCTCGTACACCAATATCAAATAAATTATTCAACAACTTTCCGTGATTTACACAGTCGAATGCCATGCTGAGATCACAGAAGATGCCAATAGGGGACTCACTATGCTCTACGAAATTACACATATTACTCAACGGATTGATGTGGTTAGATTTGTTGTTTAACATTGATTTTCTCAAGAAATTCACAAAAAGTGAATTATAAAATAATACAACGCACTTGAAATTTTAACAATTTAACACTTAACCCCACAAAATCAGATAAATCGCTTTGATCGGTCAAAATTCTCGGAGCATGAAGATCGTCGTCGAATCGCTCCGATTTTAATTGCCGAACGGATGAGATTTACTTCCCCTACATCTAGATGTCATAAACGAACGACACAGATTGATCGGAGCAGTCTGATGTCAATACCGAAATCAACTACTGCCGTATTGGTAGAGAAGTGATTTCTGAATCCATGCTGGCAATTATGTTATATTTATTTAGAAATTAAACTCTGCTAAGTCGCTACAAATAACAGTATTAAAAAAATTCAAAAAAATACAGAAGGCAGAAGGTATAGTGATAGGTATGTAATTTCAAATTTTTTTAGGCTGAGGATGTCAGAGAGAAGTGAGAGTAGTGATAGTCAGAATCAGAATCAGAATATTCTTTATTGTCAGAAGAAAAAGCTCTTGTAGACAAAGAGAAGATAAAACATAAGTACGTAACATACAATAATAAAAATTTAAAACAATGTGAAAGATAAAATATGGCATGAGAAGGATCATCATGTGGTATAACGATTCAAATTTCCAAGATGAATACTAAAACACATCACTATAATATTCCTTTAATTCATAGTAAGCCTTTTCAGCAAATAGCTGTTTGAGATTCTTCCTGAATATTTTATGATCTTTAATGTCCTTTACGTAGGTAGGTAGGTGGTGGTTATACATCTTCAGTCCATTATATATAACCGAGTCTTTGATCAGGGTAGTCGATGGTAAAGGTAATTTCAGATGATTTTGTTGCCGAGTTATATGTTCTGTTGAATTATTTTTTAATTTTGTTTTATTTTTATGAATTAGGCTGACTGATTCTACAATGAAAAGTGAGAAATATGCAGAGGAAGGAAGGGATGAATTAATGAATAAATTAGTGATTGAGTTGGAAAATGAATGAGTGTATTCTCTCCGTAGGTGGATAATGGCGAGAGTGTTCAAAATCGAACAAAAGGACGAGCCGGGCGACAGATTGCCGGTGGTGCGCGAGCTGGAACAGAGCAGAGACAGCCGGATAAATTGCATCAGATGGTTGCCCAGCTCGGGACAGGGCCTCATCTACGCCACCAATACGGGACAGTTGGTGGTGTTGACGTAAGAGATGGTGAAGTGTGAAAAATAGAATGTCGACGAAGTACGGGGATTCGGGCGGATGAGTGATTTGCGGACTGAAACTCACAGCAGGTAACTACTTGATAGTTGAGTAGTGGAGTTTCTTTCGATTTCTTTCAACATATCCTGCGCCATTTGATGAATTCAGACTGGCACGAGTCGTTCAGTGATGATCAGTAATCTTTGCAATGATTACGAATTTGAGGAATTATTGTCAGTTTTTTTAATAGAGTAGTTCAGGTTTCAGGTAGTTTTCAGAGAAAACAATTTTTTCCCCTTTCTGTCATTATCTTCAGGATTGCAACGTGAAATAATGAATATTCCATGTTGGTTACACTAAAAATGAGAAGAAATGGAGAAGACAGAAGACCATTCTAACCTCTCAATTTCTCAACCCTGAAGACAAGGACAGAAGTTGAAGATATGTTTTCTCTCAAAGCTGAACTTCTCTAACGAGCTTATTGATGTGTATCTTACAGAGAAAATATAAGTGTGTTCATATGGATCTATGGAGGAGGACGTTGACTGGGTTTTTTCAGTCTAATTCTTCCATCGATCTGTTTATATATTTGACTTTTCTTGATATACAGTGTGTCCCACTTACCATGCTCACCATGGGTATCTTTTTAACGGTGAGAGATACGAGGTCGGTTAAATGACACCAAATGTGGAGTTTGTCAAGGCCAACTATAATGTGAAAAAATATTTTGATAAAATCTATTCGTTTTTGTGTTATAGGCAATAAACAGATTTTGATCATTTTCATGTCTCCTCCGTAACTTCTTTGTTTATGAAAATATTCAAATGGGAATTTCACATTCTCATGGCAGTGATTTCGAAAAAAATATGAAATTTATACCAACTCTTCTAGAATTTGAGATATCAGCACCAACTTCAGTTTCTCCAATGTAAGTCATAGCTCACTATGACTTAGTTACAAATAACTTTTTTTTCTCTTACAGATGATATGTCGCAGTAATAGTTTTGTGTTGATAACAACGGAGTTATCGTCATTTGTACAAAAACAAAAAATTATTTGAAAGCCGCCATCTTGAATTTATAAATTTTAACAAAAAAATCATGATCTCCGACTTCAAAAACCCCCACTTACCAATTTTGAATGAAATCGGACCAAATCTTGTCCGTCATCTTGGAGCAGCCATTTTTTTTAATTTCAACAAAAATGGCGGACAAGATTTGGTCCGATTCCATTCAAAATTGGTGAGTGGGGGTTTTTGAGGTCGGAGATCATGATTTTTTGTTAAAATTTATAAATTCAACATGGCGGCTTCCAAATAATTTTTTGTTTTTGTATAAATGACGATAACTCCGTTGTTATCAACACAAAACTATTACTGCGACATATCATCTGTAAGAGAAAAAAAAGTTATTTGTATTTAAGTCATAGTGAGCTATGACCTACATTTGACAAACTAAAGTTGGTGCTGATATCTAAAATTCTAGAAGAGTTGGAATAAATTTCATATTTTTTTCGAAATCACTTTGAAAAACTGCCATGAGAATGTGAAATTCCTATTTGAATATTTTCATAAATAAAGAAGTTACGGAGGAAACATGAAAATGATCAAAATCTGTTTTTTGCATATAAAACAAAAACGAATAGATTTTATCGAAATATTGTTTCACATTATAGTTGGCCTTGACAAACTCCACATTTGGTGTCATTTAACCGACCTCCTATCTCTCACCGTTGAAAAGATACCCATTGTGAGCATGGTAAGTGGGACACACTGTAGAATCTGATTTATTTTCTTGAAGGCATTTCTCTATGTTTGATTCATTACAATTTCATTTTTATTTATTGTGGCACTTTCTTTATGTAAAATTATCCTCTGCCAACTTATCCATAGAACGCCTGTACCTACTTGGTGATATTCGTCTTGTGTGATATACATATTTCATCAATTTAATTGATATTTTTTTATTTAATTTAACATTTAGACTTTTTTTCTCTCAATTTTGCAATATAGTATAGGTAAATATATTAGATGATTATTATATTATGAATTTTTGCTTACATGTCTGGGTTTTCTCATAGTGCTAAAGAACTTTCAGTTCATTTAACTATTTATTTTAATTATTAACTTTTCAAGGTAATTATAATTACTTACCTGTTGATTCTTATAAATGGTGTGGTCATATAATAAAAATGTGAGTGCCAGTTATTTGTGACTACATATAATGACTAAATTATACAAATATTCAATATTATAAAATTCCCTGCATGCACCAAATTTTTGGAAATATGGAGAAATAGAATAAATATTAAATAAACATTTGAGTTACAAAATACTACCCTCATAAAAATCCAATGAAAAAATTGTTGGTAAAACCACAAAATTATGTAATTATGGTCTATATATTATTTTGTGGTAATATCTTATTATTGTTGAGAATATTTTCGTGTGATTATTATGTTTGACTGAATTTGTGCTATGACCGTTTTGTTAGTTCATTATAAATTTAAGATTATAGCCGTGTTTAATTATAATAAATAACATCTGTATATATAGTTGAATTAAATATATTTAGTGCAAGTGTTCAACTTATTTTCCAAGTCTATAAGTAAAGGAAAACTCGAAAACTGCAAGAGGAAATCTGAATCTGAAGAGTAGTTCAAAAGTACCAAGAAAATAAAAGTTGGATAAACGAAGAAGAGTTGATATAACAGCGACCTTCTGATGCGAAATGTTTAGCAAAGAAAAAAGAAGAAATTAAATCTCGCTACGTACTTATATGGAGATGGATTATGATAGCTGCGAACGATTGAATCCAAATATGAGAAGATGATTAACGAGCTAAGTCCTTTAAGAGAAGCAAAATAATATGAGAAGAAGAAGAAGATACGTATCCAAACGGTGACCTAACCTAAAGTTAAATATTTTCGAGCGGCAGTAGCTCACAATTTTCCACTAAATTTTAATATTTTCCTGATTAAAATCACGTCATGGCTCTCGCTAAACCGAAATCGGAGATGACCGCCGAAGAGCTGCAAGCTCGCGAAGACGAAGAATTCAACACGGGCCCCCTTTCGGTGCTCACGCAGTCGGTTAAAAACAACACGCAAGTTTTGATCAACTGCAGGAACAACAAGAAACTGCTCGGCAGAGTGAAGGCTTTCGACAGGCATTGCAACATGGTGCTGGAAAACGTGAAAGAAATGTGGACAGAGCTGCCCAGACCTGGGAAAGGGAAAAAGAAGGCAAAACCAGTGAACAAGGACCGTTTTATATCAAAGATGTTCTTGAGAGGTGATGCTGTTATTCTGGTGGTCAGGAATCCTCTAGCTACAGCGAACTGAATAGGATTAGAATTATGGATGTTTTGTATGTGTGAAAGAAATATTTGCATCAGCAGTTTTGTTTGATGCATCCTCAGTTACAACTTCCTCTAGATGTAAGAATGATGGAGATAATAAGATTTCTGTACAATTTTTGATAAGTAATAACAGTAATAAAGTTTTATAACTGTGAAAATGTACTGTGTAATTACATTTTAGTTCCCTATCATTGATGAGCATCTGCAGGACCTTTTGATGCTGTAATTGTTTAGATTCCATTTATATTGCATGCAATTTTACCTAGTAAAAAGTGTAAATTGAAATGAATACAAACAACATGGTTATTTCATGTTTATTGATATCCTTAATCACAATATACTAAAATTTCACATCTAATAGTATTTATGCAAAAATCATCTCATCCCTTCTTCTTTTGGGGGCATTCTGCTTCACCTGGCATTCAGAATGATTCATCAACTCAGGTGGACAAGTTGAAACAGGTGAAGCCAATAGCATCTGCTTAAGATCATAGAAAAGGGCAGAGTCATCTTGAGTGCAAAAACTGACGGCAATACCAGTTTTTCCGGCACGCCCTGTACGACCAATACGATGGGTATAATCTAAAAAAAAAAAAAAAGATAATTCACCATCTATAGCTGATTAATGCAAGAGTAATTTACAGTGTGTCTACTGACATTGTCTCAATGTAATACCCTATTTATTTCTCTGAAAATGTCATTTTTTTGTAATCTGATTTTTGAGGAAACATAAAAAAAAACTTTACAGTAGGTAAAGTTACAGAGTATACACATAGTAATCCTGATTTCTCAAGTTGAATGCTTGTGAAAATGTCCAAATGTGTAAACATACTAGCACTCAAATGAATGAATTTTCATTATTAGTTCAATTTCTACACATTTTGATGCATATTATTCCTAAATAACAATAATTTTTGATGCTGTCAATAATTAAAGTATTAAAGCAAAACTTATTTTACTCCTTGTTTTATCAGTTTCATTATTAAAAATTTTGGTGCTGTGTAGGATCTTTATTTCAGGTCCATTAAAAGAAATGTAAATTAGTGATCGACCGATGCCGATATATCCGCTATATCGGCCGAGAGCCGATTATCGGTATCGGCCGATAGATGTGAGTATATATCGGCCGATGTATAAATAAAAACAACCATAGCAGCTTAAAACATTTTTTTTATATTTAAATTTAAAGTAATATTTGAAATAAGGTAATCTTAAGAAATTATGGTAGATAAAACATGAAATAGGCCTTCAATATGAATACTGTAGTTTTGGCAAATTATCATGTAAAAAAATAAGTGTCTCGGTTGTTTCTGGATTCAGCCGATTCCTTTTCGCCGAATTTATGGTTCATTCAAAGTGCAATTTTTGTTTTTATTTTTATGATTTTAAATTGAACGTTAAAGAATTATAAATTATATTACAGAATATTCAGATTTTAGAGATTTTAGACAATAATATTATAAATGAATGTTATCAATTAAAAAAGGCCGATATATACCGTTATCGGCCAAGACATTATCGGTATCGGCCGATTATCGGTATCGGCTAAAAAAGTCATATCGGTCGATCACTAATGTAAATGTCATGAAAAATTATTCAAGAAAAGTTTTTAAATGACAATCATTTGTGAATAAGGAAAATGTAGAGAAGTGACACCTTCAAGTGGGAAATCTACCCTGTAAATTTTATATTCCTAGAGAATAAAATAAATCGCGATTCAAGGGGTGACTCATTTTTTTCCAAATGCCACTAAGAAGAAGAAGAAGCACTAATTTTCCCCTATGGGATCTGATAAGGAGGGATTTCTTCTATACCCTTTCAGGAATAATAAATATAGGGCCTTCCTGGGGCATACTAAATCAGATTTGAAATAAATGCGGCTATAGAGTGGTATCTATTTTTTTTTTCAGATGTCAAACATGCCTGAAAAGCTGAAATTATATACAGTGTCATTCATAAAGTCAGCATCATATGGGAAACACTTTCATTAATGACTTATTTTGAAATTCGAGTTGGACGTCAAGTTTTGCTTCAAAAAAGTTGAAAAAAGGCCTACTCAATCGGAGTCACGTGACTTTCACTACATGTGAAAAGTTACATTTTTACAAATTAATCGCTGAAAGTAGGCTTATTTGTTCGAATATCGAAAAAGTTTACTTGAAAAAGTTGTTTCTATTTCAATTTTACATATGTGACTCGGATTTCATCTTTCTAATCAATTTTTTAGATTTCGATATTTTTTAAAAATTTTCCAAATTTCTGTAAAGTTAGAAAAATTGTAAATTCGATAAAACTACTTCATACCAGTAGCTCCATCATGCTACTTACTTTCAATCACTAATTATCGACAAAAATATGCTTTTCTTCATAAAATGATAATCTCCGCTTCAAAATTCTGTTATGTTTGATGCAAACATAACATCAAAATGCTGTTTTGTTTGAGTCAAGCATTTAGAAACGAAATTCATTTGAATTTATTTTTTCAGTACTGAAAAGATCAGTTTAAATGAATTTCGTTTCTAAATGCTTGACGATATATCAACTTTGCATCAAACATAACAGAATTTGGAAGCGGGTATTATCATTTTCTGAAGAAAATCATATTTCTGTCCATAATCAGTGATAATAAGTAATTGAAAGTAAGAAGAATGAAAAAGCTACTGGTATGAAGTAGTTTCGTGAAATTATCAATTCTTCAAATATTACAGAAATTTTGAAAAATTAAAAAATAATGAAAATCTAAAAGTTGCAATAGAAGGATCAAATTCGAGAAGCATGTGTAAAATTGAAATAGAAACAACTTTCTCAAGTAAACTTTCTCGATATTCGAACAAATAAGCCTACTTTCAGCGATCAATTTGAAAAAATGTCACTTTTGACATGTTGCGAAAGTCACGTGACCCCGATTGAGTAAGCCATTTTTTATCTTTTTTGAAGCAAAACTCAACGTCCAACTCGAATTCCAAAATAAGACATTAATTAAAGTTTTTCCCATATGATGCCGACTTTATGAATGACACTGTATATATTCAGAGGCATTCCTATTTATTCCTAAGGGGTCTGATATCTGAGCAAGAATTCAGGAATTTCTTTTATTTGCTTCCATAAATAATAAAAATCGTGCCTTCTGGTGCATAATAAATGAAATTTGAAAAATATGCGGATTCAGGGGTGTATCAATTTTTTTCAAATGTTTAAAATGCCTGAGAAGTTTAGCTTCTATAATGAAAATTTCAACTTCAGAGGCATTACTATTTTCCCTAAGAGATCTGAAATCCGAGCCAGAATTCAGAAAATATCTTCTGTTCGCTTTCATGAATAATAAAAATCTCGACTTCAAGGGCGTACTGAATTAAATTTGAAAGATATATGCGGTTTTGACAGAATTCAGAGTTTTTTCAAACCCATTTTATTTAACAAGACCCTCGACATAACATCGATAAATGCGATGATAAATAATAGAAATCCTGACTACGAGGGTCATAGTGAAGTAAAATTATAACATGAAAAATAGTATATTACACACCCAGGTGGGAAGTAATTCATTCCTGGCGTGAGATTAGTTAGTTATAATCTCGAGACAGGAATGGAACTTTCTACCGAGGTTTGTATACTATTTTATTTACAACCATCATATTTGGATCAAAATTAATAAATCTGAAATATTACATAATAGAGGGCGGGAAGTAGAGAGGTGAAATAGAGGTGTGTAATATGACACTTCCCAACCTTCAACGACGTTAGTAATGACAACATTACATATATGGTTGTAAATAAACAGATTTCCTCACCTTCGATGGTCTTCGCCATGTCATAGTTGATGACCATGGACACATCCTTGATGTCGATACCTCTTCCGGCGACATCTGTCGCCACCAGCATGTCCTTGGCGCCCGACTTGAGGCTGGCCAGGGCGTACTCCCTTTGCTCCTGGCCCTTGCCTCCGTGCAGCGTGCACGCGTTATGGCCGAGCTTCTCCAGCCCTTTGGCCAGCACGTCGGCGCCCTTCTTCTGGTTCACGAAGATTATCACGGGCGGTTCGATTCCTAACGGAAAACACATGAAAAATTAATTCATGCAATCTTCATTGATGTTATATCGATCATTTCATTTGATGCATCCTGTATTTATGAAACTGCAAGAATTCTATTGGAATTCAGGAATACTGAAATACCGAGGAAAATTCATCGGGAATTTCAAGAAAATTGATACCAAAGAATACCAGGAAAATGCAGAACTATTGGTGAAATACGGTTCCGGAAAAATGCCAATAAGGTCCCTCAAATTCCAGAAAATCCCCAGAAGATTCAATAAACATTCTAGAAGAACTTGAAAAATTTCAGAATAACCCGGAATCACAAGAGATTCCTAATGCCATAAGGGATTTCAGGAGTTCTGGTGAAATCTTGCAAATTTCAGGAATCTTTGGAAGATTCCGCGAATTCCAGGGATATTCAGGAATACCTGGAAAACCAAAAATGCCAGGGAAGTCAAAGGTTTTCCATCTGAATCCCATAATATTCTAGGAAATCCTAGTAATTTCAGGAAAATCATTGCAACGGGAATTTACGTCACATACCTATTTTACATTGATCATTCAATGTATTAATAGAATTTGATGCAATCATTCATTATTTAAACGCATCGCAAATATATTTTTCACAATAATGAAATTCGGCGCCTTCGAAAAACACCAGCTTCGATGACGTCATGAACCGAACCAAAAGTCATCGTTATCTGAATTTCGGCTTTCGCATAAAAAGTATTGTTACGTTATTTATGTAAACAATTTATATCACACGGTATATGACTGTCTTTCTGACACTCGTTGCTTGACTGCCTGACGCAGTTGTTCGGCCGTCTTATATATGAGATTCCTTGGTAGGCTTTGATTCGAGAACGTTCTCGAATGATCTTCTGTACCCTTCTTTTTGTTCTAGAAGCTTCTTAGAACAATACCTCTCTCTCTCTAATTGTTCCATCGATTGTTTCCAAAACATTCCAGAATCTTCTGTCACGTTATTTGTCACCGCCACATATATTGAGTGTTCGGAAATAGGCTAGTACATGTCGGAATCATTGGGATGTTGGAGAACAATCTGAGATGCGTGTTACAGGATGATCGTTGTACGTGATGTTTCCAGAGCCCCTCTAAGGGAAATATCATTACAGTATGTTCACATATTTAGGCGTTGCCAGATTTGTAACTAGTAATTACCTTATGAGATTCAATATGACCAATCACAAAAGTATTCACATTCACAGAAGACAATAGTTCGACCTTATCCCTAATAATCACTTATTGAATACTTATATACTTTCAAGATTCTTCAGTATCAATTAAAATATCCTAGTGTTCCTAATAATGATCGAGATTTTATTTAAATCCAAATTATTTTGTGGCCCTGGTAACAGCGTAATGCCTAGAGTTCCCAGAAATACAAGAAGAAGAAAAAAAGAAAAATACCAGCTACATTGTCAACCTAACTTCTTAACGTCAATATCGTCTGTCACTTTCATCTTCAATTGCTTGTTTCATCTAGTCAAGATGCGAATATTCAAAGATAATCCTCAAATTATCTGATTCTCCAGTTGTGTTGTATTCTTTCTTATCTGCAGTGAGTAATCAGTCTGCATTTTTAATTTTGATACAAATGACAATCAGAAGTGGTCCTGCCCTTGTTTTACATAAATAGAAAATGCATATCGGTAAGTCGCGTTTTTCATGTTATAAAATTTCGTGAATTTCAATAATTATTTAAAAAATGTACAGACCTCTGGGGAAAAAACGGTTTGCGACATTGAACTACATAGTTAGGGTTAGTACTTCAAAATAATGAAATAAAATTTTTCACAGAAACAGGACCATTTCAGTTGAATCAAACATTTCTTTCAAGAAAACATCAAAAATTTTAGAAAAATCTCGATAAACTCCAGCGAATCCAATGAAAATCTCAGGAATACCAGGGAAATCCTCAAAACACTCCAGATCAATGAAAAAGATTAAGGGAACTCAGAAGAACACCATCAGGAATCTCTAATGATTTTGAGAATCTCAAAGAATACAATGAAAACTCTAAGAAAACAGAAGAAAACCTATGTGTTCCAGGGAAATGTCAGGAATTACCAAAAATACTAGAAGTTTCAGAACAAACTCACGAATTTCAGCGAAGAAATGCCATGAAAATCCCAGAATTTCCAGAAAACATATCAGGAGCAAGGAAGTTTTTCACTATCAAACAAAATCAGCAACTTGGAACAAACTTCCATAACATTCCTCGAAAATAGACCTTCTCAAGAGTTTTTAGAAAAGTAATTCCCTCTCTCTTACCTCTGGACAAGTACTCCATGAGTTTCCGTCTCTTGTCGTTCTCGTTCATGATGTGCACGATCTGTTCCACTCTCTCTACCGGCTTGCCGATGGAGCCGATGTAGACGACGGCTGGTCGTCGCAGATAGGTCCTGGCTAGACGTTCCACCGCAGGGGGCATGGTGGCCGTGAACATGACGGTTTGTCGGAACTTTTTCTTGCTGTTGTAGTTGGCCAACAGAACTCTGGAAAATCGAATGGAATGTGCAGGAAATTTGGATTTTATCAGGAAATCTTTTTTTTTATGTTATGGTTATGAAATAATAATCAAAATTATAGAACTTCTACATATTTTGGATAATAAACTGAAAAATTAGCTCCATTTATACATAAACAAGACTCAAAAGTAATAGAACAAATAACACGTTGGGAAGGTTGACTCAGGTACAAACTCAGCTGTGGATCTTGTCCTAAGGTATATATCGGTCAGACAGGTCGTACGTTTAATCAGCGCATTAATGAACATAAGATGACAGTATTCAACATAGGCCAACCGAATATTAGAAGAAAACCATAGTTTTGTTGATAATTCCGAAATTCTACACGTAGAAAATAAACAAAATCAAAAATTCTAACAGTTTACTTAACGATCAACTAGACCTCAATAGTTTACCACTCTTGAATGTGTTTTCTTAGTAGGTAATAATATGTATTTACTATCAACCCTTTCAAGTTAATCCGGTACACCATATTTTAATGTAGATATTTTGTGCCTATTTTCCGAAAATGAAGGTTTATCAAACTTAATGAAAATGTGGATCTACAAATTTCAGGGAATCCCTGGAGTATGATTCCCAATATTTATAGATTAACTTAAAAATTTCATAAAATTAAAGAATTTCTATGAGATGCCCATGAATTTCAGGGACCTTTTTAGGTTAATTCAAAAATTTCCAGATAACTACCAATATTTACAGGTAGGATTATAGTAATTTTCTTAAATAATCCTAAAACATTCAGAAAAACTGCATAAACCCAAGGAAACTTCCAGAAATCTCAGGGAAATAACAGAAATAAGAGAAACCTTTGATGTTCCAGGAATATCCTTGAAATATCAAAAACCTGCAATCACTAAAAGTCAGAATTCAACTTTGTATACATAACTTCATTTTCCCAAATGAAGTTTTAAAAAATACAATAATAATGACATACTATAACCATTTTCTTACTTGCTGTCTTCTGCTTCCTCTGAATCGGGCTTCAGATTGGATACCGGCATGTATTCCAAAATTTTCTGTACGTCCGGTTCGAAACCGAGATCTATCATTCTGTCGGCTTCATCGAGTACAATATAAGTACACTGGTTCAGTACAAGGTATCGGTTTTCCAGTACATCAATGAGACGACCCGGAGTAGCAATGACTATCTCACAACCCATACGTAATCTGAAATAAGGCTTAAGCTTTAAATAATTTTTTATTTTCATTCATAATTTTTTAGGTGGAACTTGACTATTCAATTTATATTTTTACTGAAACTAAAAAATATTGACAGGTTGTTCAGCGTAATATGCTGTGATCGGAATTTTGTCTTTTTTTTCACCTGAAACCCTGCTCTTCTCTGCTCAACCCTCCCACCACCACCACCGTTCTGATCCCCAACGGCTGTCCGAACTTGACCGTCTCCTCCTCGATCTGCTGAGCCAACTCCCTGGTGGGCGCCAAAATGATAGCGTAAGGACCCTGATCCGCGTCCTCAGTCCTCTCGATCTTCGGCAGGCTCTGGATCCACGACAGCAGCGGGAAGAGGAAGGCCAGCGTTTTCCCTGAGCCGGTCTCGGCCACCCCGATGATGTCTCGGTTTTGCATGCCGATGGGGATGGCCTGCCGCTGAATGGGCGTGGGGTCCTTGTAACCCACTTGCTCCACGATTTCCAGGAGCTCTTTTTGAATGCCGGATTCTTTCCAGTTGCGTATCGGTTCGGGAATTTTTCCACCTGGTGAGAATGATGGAAAAAGATGAAATCTCTGTAAGAAAATTGATGGGAAATTGAGAAGAAGACAGCGTTTTCCCTGAGCCAGTCTTGGCCAGCCGATGAATGGGCATGGGGTCCTTGTAACCCACTTGCTCAACGATTTCCAGGAGCTCTTTTTGGATATCGGATTCCTTCCAGTTGCGTATCGGTTCGGGAATTTTTCCGCCTGGTGAGAATGATGAAGAGATAATATCTCTGTAAGAAAATTGAGGGGAAAATAAGAGGAAGGCAGCATTTTCCCTGAGCCAGTCTCGGCCACCCCGATGATGTCTCGGTTTTGCATGCCGATGGGGATGGCCTGCCGCTGGATGGGTGTGGGGTCCTTGTAGCCCACTTGCTCCACGATTTCCAGGAGCTCTTTTTGGATGCCGGATTCCTTCCAGTTGCGTATCGGTTCGGGAATTTTTCCGCCTGGTGAGAATTATGAAAAAAGATGAAACCTCTGTAAGAAAATTGATGGGAAAATAAGAGGAAGACAGCGTTTTCTCTGAGCCAGTCTCGGCCTGCCGTGGGGTCCTTGTAGCCCACTTGCTTCACTATCTCCAGGACATGCTACTGGATGCCGGATTCCTTTTAGTTGCGTATCGGTTCGGGAATTTTTTTCCGCCTGGTGAGAATGATAAAGAAAGATGAAATCCCTGTAAGAAAATTGATGGGAAAATAAAAGACAGCGTTTTCCCTGAGCCAGTCTCGGTCACCCCGATGATATCTCGTACGATAGGTCTGACTGAAGAACTGCTATGCAGGTTCTGTCAGGAAGAGGAGGAAAACAGCAGTACACATATACTTTGCCACTGTGAGGGCTTGTCAAGACTAAGGTTCCTAAGGTTCCTTACGCTGGGTGAGGAAAAACCAGAAGCCCAAAGATACACAGGGGATCTGAAAGCTATCCTATGGAGTCTCGTAGAGAAGGCGGGGCTAGCCGAAGAACTCTAATCGATTTTGAGGGCAGACACAATAGATCTGAAAAGGTCGCGGTGTGGAAGCAGATAGACCGAAGGCCCCATTCTAAATGTAAATCTGTGATAAAGAAAGATGAAATCCCTGTAAGAAAATTGATGGGAAAATAAGAAGAAGGCAGTTTTTACCCTGAGCCAGTCTCGGCCACCCCGATGATGTCTCGGTTCTGTATGCCGATGGGGATGGCCTGCCGCTAGATGGGCGTGGGGTCTTTGTAGCCCACTGGCCCCAAAATCTTCAGGGGCTCCTTTTGCATGCCGGATTCCTTTCAGTTGCGTATAGGTTTGGAAATTTTTCCGTCTGATTGAAATAATGAAAATGAGTCATTTTATCTTCGCTAACAGAAAATGAGTCATTTTATCTTCGCTAAGATAAAATGATACTAATGAATAACAACAAAGGGGTTTTCATGGCAATAAGTGTTTCAATTTTGGCAATATTGAGGAACAATAATTTAAATTAACATGTTTTTTCTTGGCAAAAAGTTAAAACACTTGTTCAACAAGTGTTTCAATCTTTGATAAGATCATGCAGTGTTACCAAGTTGTATTACAAGTGCTTTGTAATACAAATGAAACAATATATTACAAATAAATGATATTTTCCTCCAAATGATATCAAAAGTGGCTTTTCAATGACACTTAATGACTTAACAGGCACAAAAGGAGTACTTTTTCTGCCTAAGCTCTCAGTAATAATTTGAATCAAATTGGTAAACAAAATCAACAATGACTTTAGGTGATCACAAAATGATGGATTATTTGGACTTTGCATGAAATTGGAACAAATTTGAAGAAATAATTAACTGTTTCACATTGCAGATAAGAAGATTTGATGCCTTGGCTGGTTTCCTACTTAATTCTTGTGCTTTTCTACCTAATAAAACAAATATTGTTCAAGCATTAGTTTCAGCAAAGTTATTAAAACAATAATACTAAAAATCACAAAAAGCATTTCAATCATGCCAATCAAATATTACTTGATACTGGAGGTATTACTAATAAATGACAAGTAATGTTGTAATTTTGGCAAACTTAATACTAAAAGATGAGAACATGTTTCAATTTCAGCAAATTTGAAAAGTAAGTTTTTCCCCAACTTTGTGGGTTTGTTCTTGCAATATATAATCATGAATAACTGTTAATGAAAAATGTTTTGTAATAATAAATTCCTTATTAGAATCAAACTTGCTCTTTAGCTTTCATAGTTGTTTTTTTGGATAAAAAAATAGTGAAAACACAAATACACCAGGACCTTTTATTGTGATGTTGTAATCTTCCCTGAATATTCTCCAATCTCTTTCTGTCATTTCAGGCAGATCTTTTTCTGTCCAGTGTCTATCATCCCATAGCTGCTTGTCTTCACGCCTCTTAACTTTCTTCAATCTCACTTTCTCCTGTGCTTTTTCAGCATCTGTTCTTCTCTTCTCCAGCAGTTCCCCATAAAATTTGCTCTGGTCTCTTTTCTGAGCTTTGATGTCTATTCCAGCCAAGTTACCCCTCCCATAAAATTGAACCTAGATACATAAAAAATTTATAAAATATAAAATTTATTGGAAATATATACATATATGACAGTGCATCTTCAATAATCAGTTACTAGATTTCCTGACCTGGTGCCTTTCTTTATACAGAGCATTATAATCCAAAGATGTATCTTCTCCAGCATCCCAATCAAAAACAAACTTTCTATCATTGAGCCTCCTAACTCTTCTTTTCTTCTTGATCAGTCCTAAATACCTCTCTTTGATAGCATCCTGCTCCTTTTCCTTATCCTTGTCTTTCTGTTTTTCCTCTTCAACTTCTCTGTTCCTGTTTCTCCTGTAATCTCTTTCATCTTTCTTAGAATCATCTTGGCGACTGGACTGCATTGCATCAATGATTTTACGCTCTTCATCATGCATTTTTCTCTGTCTGTCTACCTCCTCTTGACGCCTTTTGAGGGCCTCAGCAGCCCTTTGTTCTTTGGTGAGGAACACTGGTTTGCTTTTGGCAGCTTCCTCTGCCTTTTTCTTTGCCAGAAGCTCTTCCAATGACAAGGGTTCTTTTTTTGCAGGATCCGATTTCAGTTCTACTTTAGTTTCAGCTTTGATATTACCTTTAGTGTCTTCAGTATCTTCCCGATTTTCTTTTCGTGACTCCTTGTATTTCTTGTCCTTCTCCTCATATTTGTCTCTGTGCTTATCCCTGTCGCCTTTTTCTTGCTTGTCGGATTTGTTGGAATGGCTATCATACTTTTCTCGTTCTTGTTTTTTGTGTCTATCTGAGCGATCTTTGCTTCTTGACCTAGATCTTTTGCGTTTATCGCGCTCCTTGTCCCTTTCTCGGCTGCGGGATCTCCGCTTTTTCTCATTTCCCATTACGAATAAACAACTTCAAAAAGCTCTGGAAGACCAAAGGAAAAAGGAAAATAGAGAAATCAAAATATTGCCCTTAACCCCACTTTATCGTTCTTTCACGTCTTTTCTTTCCAGAAACTTCACAACATTCAATGACATTTCTTCTTTTCAATTTGAATTACCTTAGCTGCCTTGACTGTATGCATTTACGGTCCACAGCACACATTAGTACACAGTACACATGATACACAGCACACATAGAACACACCACACATAGTACACAGACCACACGGTACACAGCACACATAATACACAGAACACACGGTACACAGCACACATAGTAAACAGCGCACACAGAACACAACACACAACGGAACATGCTCTCAGACAAGTAATGAACAATGTCAGTAGTCGGGCTATCGCTGTCATTTTTAATTTTTATTTACCTTTTTACCTAGCTCTCTTCATAGCTCTTCATCAGTCTTCATCTTCATAGTTGTTGCAGAGATTGCTTTGTTGTTGTTGGTCGTTGAAAATGTTTTTAATTTTTGACGAGAAACCAGATTCGAATATCCAGATTTAAGGAGGATTATTAAACCAACGGAATTGAGGGGAAAAAATGGATAAAAGTCAATTGTCTGCCGTTCTTCAAGTCCTCAAAAAATATAATCTTAAGGTATTTTTTATCTCTATTATAACATACTTACATGGTTTTGTATATTTAACAATATTTTTCAAGGAAACTGAAGAACTTTTGAAAAAAGAAGCACAGTTAACTGATAATGAGTCACAAAACTCCCAGCAAGGGTCTGATGTAAGTAGTGTTCTGACTGGCTATAAAAGTGATGGGGACCCAGAAGCCTATGAACTTTCATATACAGAACTGAAGAGATTTGTTGAAAGTTCTCTAGACATATACAAACATGAACTAGGCACTATACTGTTCCCTGTGCTGGTCCATATGTATCTTGAAATGGTCTACAATGGACACACACAAAAGGCCATATCACTAATGAAGAAATTTGGGCCAGAACAAGAGTCCTACTATCAAGAAGACTTGAAAAAACTAGCAATGGTGACAAAAAGAGAGCACATGAATGGAAATGAGTTGACAGAAACATTCAAATCCAACCAGTTCATCATTAGGATATCCAGGGACACTTTGTCATTATTGAAGAGGCATTTGAATGATAAAAAAGCTGCAGTCATGTTGAATATCATTCAGGAACATTTGTATTTTGATATGTATGAAGGGGTAGCTAGAAATAAGGGGCAAATTGATGCTACATCAGGTGCAATAGGTGGTGAAGCAAAAAGACAAGGTAAGTTCAAAAACATAGAAGAGTTCTCATGATGAAGATTCTATTCTTTTATAGATAATAAATCAAAGGTATTCTATGGGATACCCAAGGCCCCTGACCTTGTTACCCTAGCAGGGCCAGTAGAAGATGAGGAGGAAGGTCAGGACCAAGATAATCCTGATAAACCAAAAAAGAAGAAATCCAAAAAAGATCCTTTGTTTTCTAAGAAAACCAAGTCTGATCCAAATGCACCACCTGCAGATAGAATACCAGTACCTGAATGGTAATAAATAAGCTAGTGCTTAGTTCTATAAAAATTATGTTTTAGCTCTTATTGATTTGCAGGAAAGACAATGATAAATTGGAGAAAATCAAGGCTCTGAGAGAAGCCTCAAAGAGAGTTATTTTGGGCCCTGAATCAATGCCTTCCTGTTGCTGTTATACACTCTTGAATGCTAACTTCACGTAAGTCATTGACATAATATGCATGATATGGGCATGAAAATCATTCAAATTGCTTAATTTCTAGGGTTTGTTGTGCAGAAATCACAGAAGACTCCAGCATGTTGGCAGTTGGTTTCAATGATTCCATAGTCAAAGTTTGGACCCTGGTGCCTCAGAAATTGAGGTCCATGAAGTCTGCTGAACAACTTGAAGAAGTGAATATTGAAGCTGAAGATGTTTTGGTAAGAAATAAAAATGTAACATAACAATATTTGACTTTGTCTATTGAGTACTCAAATTGATTCAAAGGAGGTACATTTCAACTATATCTATGGAAAAACTAGTGCCAGGTAAAATGCAACCAAAACTCACCTTCATTGGATTTTGATACAAGAATCCACCAATCAAATAATGGATTGGGTAGAATTGAGAAGGAAAGTGGTCATGGATTTAATTTTGATAAAACCAAATTTATGACTCACTTCCTATCAAAATTCTCAGCCAAATTTAGGTAGGTACTATAAAAATCGGCAGTAAAATCAACATTCATGAAACTAATTGTATAAACTACCATGACATGATGATTGATAATAATCTGAAGTGAGATAATCATGTAGATTATGTTTTTTTTCAAAAAAATTAGATGTCTCATTCCTGAATTCAAACATCTCAAATATGTATTGAGCATTCCTAGTTTGGAAATGATATATTTTGCTTTAGTTCAATCTCAATTAGTTTATGGGATTTTAGGATGGGGAGGAGTAAAGCAAATATATTTGAAAAAATTGGGAGTTATTCAAAAATGGATTTTGAAAATCATTTATGGAATAGATTATTTATTACTGACTGACCTTCTATACAAAGAATCCCAGAATATGGATATAAATAAGCTTTATATTTATTGTCTATCAACTTACATGATCAAAAACAGAAATGATATTGAATTAAAAAAAAAATTACCTATGATATAAGAAACAAGATCAAAACATGGAACTATAAATCTAATGAAACAATTGGACAAAGAAACTATAAATATTTAATTCCTTATTTGTATGGTGATATTTGGCATGATATTAAAGAAGTCAAATCCTTTTATTGCTATTAAACTAAAATATAAAAACTGGATATGAGTCTCTTCAAGGAGTTTATTTGCTTCTCTGGTTAATATTTGATATCTATTTATAGGACATTTGAAACAGTACTGAATTGTACTTATACCCAATGATTGAATGAAAAACAATACATTTTTATTTTATATACCTTACAACAAGTTATACTTCCTAAGGTTTTCTTTGTTTATTCAATACCAATATGTATACTTTCAATTTATATTATGTCAAGATTTCTAATAAACTTTATAATTATTAGAGGTAAATCTTGATAAAACATTGGAACACCAGACTTCCAATGATTACCAGAGACTTTCAGTGAATCTCAATGAAAATCAGTGACTATCAGAGAATTCTATTTACTACCAGACTTCCATTGACTACCAGAAACTCTCAGTAACTACTTAAGACTTCAGTTGTTTACCAAAGACTTCCATCACTAACTTACAAAGAGTTGCAGTGACTACCAAAGGTTTTCAGTGACTATTCATGACTATCAGTGACTACCAATGACTTCTATTGAGTACCAAAGACTGACTACTGACTTCCAGTGAAGTGTACACCAGACTTCCAAGAAGATTTGCTCCTAGAATGATCAACATCTCGGCGCCCAAGAAGTGGTTCATATTTCACTATAAGACTTTGAAATATACTCACAGGCAAAAAAACCTGCCAGCAAAAAATTTTGCCGAATTTAACAACGTATAACATTTTTAATTTTCCGATTCTGGTGAAAATTCGACCAAAACGTAGATAAAGTTGCAGAGTGTAAGCCTGAAATTCAATTCCTAAAAAAGCTGTTATATCTTTGCACGATCTGTATGATGAAGATCATTTTATACATACTGTACATACTATCAATAAGTTCGAATTCCACGCCGGCGATCCGGGTTCAATTCCTTTGACAGTCGGCTCTTTTTTTAATTCTGATTTCTCAAGTGCTTTTCCGAAAATTATACTTTTTAGGAAGAAGGTTCATTCAGTCCAAGTAAGATTAACATTTTTAAAAGAAGAATTCTCCTCATGCAGAGGGAATATTTTCATTCTTCCCTGAAAAAAACACTACTGTTTAGGCCGATAGTGATTGGCAATTTCAATGATGTTGTTTTTCACTGCCGGAAATTTTCAGTATACTTGATTATGCCCAATGGGCGTGTACACCTTAGTAGAACTTTTAACTCAAACCATGTTTATAATGATCCTTTTATACATAAATAATGATTGACGACATAATTCGATCGAAAAATTAACTGGAATGTTTCATTTTTGGACATAAATAATAGTATCTTCTGAAAACGTACCCTCTTATGACGTAGAAACCTCATCTCGCCATAGTTAAAAGAAAATACCAAAAGCCCGACGGAGACTGAGGCAACTGATGTATTAATTTTTTCAACTGTGATCTCGCGCTAATTTACTCTGTCAGAAATCATGTATCATTCATCTCTGTCTGAAATAGTCTTAGGGTTTTGACGTCACATCATCGCCTCGTTTTCAGAGGTCCGAGAAATCGGGGATTTCAATAATTTTTTATAAAACGTAGGGAGCTCACAGCAAGAAACGGTTTGCGGTGGTGAGCTAGTTTGGGTGAGTTCTATCGAAATATGAAATAATTTTTTTTTGTGATATAAGCCCAACATTCATTATTCGAATTTACCGTCAATACTAGTGATTTGAATTCACCGCCATTGCCAAAATCGCTCTAATTGGTCTCCTATATCACCCTATACTTTGGGCAATGATGGAAGTAAGATATGGTATAATTACTGATGCGCTTTTGTTTCAGAAATTTTACTCGACCTCTCGAGAACAACGAGAGCAATGGTTCCGTCGATCTTCTAATAGATGGCGACATTGCACAATTATGACATCTGTCAGTTTTGAAAATGTCGTAGATTTTTCAAATTCATATGTTCCGCGTACCTAAAATGCCATTTGCCATTTTATTTCCACTCGTCACAGCAGCATCACCATCTAGCGGGAAAATGTAGAATCAACGCCTTGCTCGTTGTGACGTAGAGAAATCATAGTAGGCGGTCGAGTGATTTTTCTGAAATTTTCAATACGTAATAATGGCCGAATACGCGCACCATATCTTACTTCCATCATTCTTTGGGCGAAACGGATGCCTGCAGTTCAGCTATCATTGAGAAAGAGAGAGAAAAAAAACGTCTTCCCTCCCCATATGTCCTTGTCTTCAGTGTTCCAAATTCAAAGATAATATTGGCAACACTGGAAATAAGAAGGAATGGAGAAGAAGATCATATTAACCTCAATATAAAAAGGTTAGAATGGTTACCAACATAAAATTTCCATTATTTTACGTTGGAACACTGAAGACAATGACAGATGGGGGAAGACATATTTTCTCTCTCAATGCTAGCTGAACTGCTCTATTTGGGTAATATTTTGGCTGGCCGATTTTTTTTACCGGCGAGTGAATAGATTTCCGAATGTCTTAATGTATGCAGGTCCGTATGATGGACGACCGTTCGGGGGAAACCTCCCGAACTTTGTGCGGCCACGGGGGCCCAGTTTATTCCGTCTCCTTCTCTCCCGATCGCTCCCTCCTCCTCAGCTGTTCGGAGGACACCACCATCAGGTTGTGGAGCCTGCAGATATGGACTTGCCTGGTGGTGTACAAGGGTCACATGTTCCCCGTGTGGGACGTCAAGTTCTCGCCCATGGGCTACTATTTCGCGTCGGCCGGGTACGATAGAACGGCCAGATTGTGGGCCACCGATCACTATCAGCCGTTGAGGATTTTTGCCGGGCATTTTTCCGATGTGGATGTGAGTATTCGGCGTTTTGTTTGTGATCTCTTCAACCTCCGAAAAACTGTTTTGATTCTTGTCCGATTCTGGTGAAATTTCGACCAAATCGTAGATTTATGTTTTGGAATGTGTGTCTCAATCCAGTGCCGGTTTTACCAGGGGTCTTTTGGGTGCTATAGTACCAGGCGGCGAAATCTTCAGGGCCGGCTATATGAAAATACAACCGCACATCTTTTGTCATCGGTCATTATCTGGATATTTCGATTTTTGACGCGAAAGATTTGATCACTACACTACCTGAATTGAAATTTATGTAAAGAAGTGGATCATCCCAAGAAAAGCACAATAAGGAGAAAAAATACGGCAAACAGTTCGAACCAGAGAGAAAAATGGCGGAACCATCAGTGTTTTATTTTCAGTTGCAGCTCTGAAATTTTTCGTCGGACTTCCACCTACAAATCTCGTTCAGAATCATTTGACTTTCTGTTCAAGATAGTGTCAGCAGAGGATGGAAATTTGATCAAATTGGCAACTAAACTGCAAGAAAGTATGTAGAGGATCTGGCCAAATGTGTTTCTGACGAATGTTATTCATCTGAAAAAAACAGTTTTCTCTCCTAGAGACTAAAGCAGAAACTCCTATTATGGAATTAGTCAAAGTTCTACACGAGAAAAATGTAATATACCATTTTTTTCCCAATATGAATATTTGTTTTCGAAATTTTTGAGCTAAAAATATTGTCTCAACTCAAAGAAGATCTACTAAATGAAACTAATGTATAGAGCTTGTGAAGAGTATCATTCATAAAGGCTTGCATTGAAGCAAGAAAACAGATTTTTGTATTGTTACTTCATGTTCCTAGTTACATACTTGCTTTTTATCATTTGATTTTCTTTTTTCAATCCAACATATACCTATTCATTTTTCTTGTTATGCATTATGTGATCACTAAAGGATTATGTTTTTAATTTTATTCCACAATATCCTGTTTGTTTGCGAGTTTGCCGTTTTACTCCCATCCCAGAAAACGTCCAACGTGCCTATAGAATTTATTATCACTTCAAAAATGTGTCATGGGAAGAAATCCAAAGACCTGAAAGATTTGGAATATTTTTGAGTCTGAAGGGCGGCACCAGGCGGCAAATCACCTTAAACCGGCACTGTCTCAATCTTAGTTCCGAAGAAAAACTGATGGCTGGATCATTATACATGGAAAAAAATTTGCTCTTTCACACTACTTAGTTTTTTGCAGCCCTGTAGCAATAGTGGGTGCTTAAACCTAGCTTCATTATGTTTTGGATTGAAGTGTAATCCATTCTTAACACAATTATTTTTGATTTGCGTAGATATCTTCTTTTTAAGAGAAGATACAGTAAGTGTTTAAAGAAACTATGGAATTTTTTTATTTACATTTAACAGTAATTCAGAACCTATAGAACATCTTCGGGATGAACTCCAGAGGCGTATTTGTCTTCATCTGGCCTTCCCTTGCCCTTCAAGAAAAAAATTGAAGCATTTCCTCAAGACTGCTGGAGATATTTGATCAATTCAATGTCACAGGGGTTAATGCTGTGATTCTCGTGTTTGTTTATTCTTTTCGGTGAGTGCTGAAAAACGGGATAAAAATAAGCAGTATTAGTTGTATATCCAAACAGAGATTACACCTTTACCCAAAACATAATGAAGCTAAGTTTATTTACTTACTTTACCACAGGGCGTGAGTTAAGACCCGGTTCCACCATTGATTCAATCTTAGTTTCGGAGTTGACTGACAGATTCAATCGCCATAACTAAGAAAATTCAAACCGTTTCACCATACTAGAATCACCGATTATCTCGATTGATCGAGATTATTCCTTTTTCACCTTACCATAATACGTGAGTTTCCTTCAGATGAATTTCCATAAAATAAGTTCGGAACTCTCCAGTTTTATGTCCCCGCCGTACAGAATCGCGACCGATAAAGTCCAAGTCGTTTTCATTTTCAAATTAAAGCAATTTCTAATTTTCGAGCGGCAAACTGTGACGTACATTCTGAATCTAGTCTAAAAATAGCTGATGGTGAAGAAAAAATGGAAGAAGAAGTAAAACTGGTAAACAACAACATACATAACCTTGAATGCACTTGGAGCAGGAATGCAGAGGGTAGTTGGCTTCATTCTGACAGGTTATGGTTTTGTTATTTATGCATTGAAATATCTCGAATAGAGCTCGATCCTAAACGGAAATATCATTGAATCAATGAATCACTATCGGCTACATTCAATGATACTATCCTTCCTAATTTACTGCCATCGGTCAGAACAGAATGAAGCCGACACCCATGGCTCCTTCCTCTTGTTGTGGCTGTCAGTATTTTGAGTGTGTAGGAACTTGAAGTATTAGGCGCTGTTGCAATATACTAGACATATTGATGATGTCGGCAACGTCGTACTGGCACAGGGAATCGTATTTTAACTCTGTGTGAATGTGGATTTTCAGAAGGTACGTCATAGGAATGGTGGAGGAGCCAAGTTCCTCTTTTATTTATTTTTTTCTGAAGTGAAATTTGATCTTACGAAAAACTGAAAAAATACGTATATACAGGGTGGCCCACGAGGTTTTGGCCAGTCTATATCTCGAAAACTATTTGAAGTACAATTTTGAATTTTTGTGGTTTTGAACAATGGAATGCGGTGACCATTTTTGGTATAAGAGGGTTTTATTGCAACATCGCATTTCCAATCACGTGATATCAACTTCAAAATTTTAAATGGAACACCCTGTATATTATTGCATTTTTGTGAAGACCTTTCTAATGCAAATACTACGATACCATCATTGTCAGGGTTTTCATGTGAAACGGTGACAATATGAGTTGTCAAATAAATGGAAATACAGAAATGTTCATAAAAACCTTTTTATCTTAACTGTTGTGCCGAAAAACCGCTGAAAATTATGGTATCGTAGAATTTGTATTAGAAAGGACTTCACGAAAATGCAATAATATACAAGGTGTTCCATTTGAAATTTTGAAGTGGATGTCACGTGATCGGAAATGCGATGTTGCAATAAAACCCTCTTATATCAAAAATGAACACCACATTCCACTGTTTAAAACCACCAAATATCAAAATTATAGTTCAAATAGTTTCCGAGATATCGACTGGCCAAAACCTCGTTGGCCACCCTGTATTAATTTTTTACAAACATCACACTGAAATGAAAACCTCAATATAGGAAACTTTCCCATTTCCGATTATCGAACACGGATTCAATCAGTCATGGTTGGTCAGTTAACTCCAAAACTGAGATTTTAAATCCGTTTGTGAAACCAGGCCTCAGGGTGTAAGAGTAACTTTCGTTTTTTCCTGTATAATGATGAAGTCATCAGCTTTTCTTGGGAACTAAGATAATTATCCTATGATTTGGTCGAAATTTCATCAAAGTCCAACAAGTATTGAGAAAGTTGCAGGGCAAATAATTAGGCAACATTTTTTCATGCCGGTTTTTTTGCCAGTGAGTGTAGGTAGACAATATCGATTTTCCTTTTGTTCCAGTGTATCCAGTTCCACCCGAATTCCAACTACCTGGCGACCGGTTCCAGCGACCGGCGCGTCTGCCTATACGACTGTACTACCGGCCACCATGTACGTCTGATGACCGGCCACAAGTCGCCTGTGCATGCTCTAGCCTTCAGGTGAATATTTTGCTGAACACTCTATACATATTACTAAATGTATTAGAAAGGGCACATTTACAAATAGTATTTTTCTTCACAACGCAAAAAATTTTTTTGTAGATATGATTGTCGGGCACCAAATATCTAAGACGTCGGTACCTTAGATATTATTTATTAGAATGTCTTTTGGTACTGGAAAGTCTCGAATTATTTAGATGATTAAATGAAAATTGCAAATATTTAACCAAACATCAGGTAGGCACTACGAAGGCGCAAATTCATTACTGCATGGGAGATACCCTTCAGATTTTTGCTATCAACTGACTTGACCACGAATCACATTGACGTTTTAGTCTTCTGTGCAACCAAAATACACGATTCAATATTACCTGAATTGGACAATCTATAGTCAGGGCGCAACAAATAACTTATTTTTGTTGTAATCGAATATATTTTCACTTTTGTTGTAGTAAATTATTCCGACAAAGCATATTTTCAGTTTTTGAAGCCTCATTGTATTGGAATGTATATATTTGATGTTTATTTATAAGGGCTTCAACGCGAGCGAAGCCGCGGGTAGAATATAGTATTCTTTAATATTCTGGAGAATAATTATGGAAACCTCTGGAAGATTCTATAGAATTTTGGAATATTCTAGAACATTATCGAACTTTCTGAGAGATTCTATAGCATTATTTTGAACTATTCTAGATCATTATTGAACTCAATGGAAGATTTTATAGCATTTTTGTACCTTCTGGAATTTTTCAGAACCTAATAGAACCTTCTGGAAAATTCTATAATCTTATGGAATATTCCAGTACATTCTTTGAATGCCCGGAATAACCTATAACCATTCAGAATATTCTAGAAACATTATCAAACCTTCTGGAAGATTCTAGAACACTTTGAAACACCCTAGAACAGTTCAGGAAAATTCTGGAATATTCTATAACAGTCTGGAAACTTCTGGAACCATCTAGAATATTCTAGAAACATTATCGAACCTCCTGGAAGATTCTAGAACACTTTGAAACACTCTAGAACAGTTCAGGAAAATTCTGGAAGATTCCATAACAGTCTGGAAACTTCTGGAACCATCTAGAATATTCTAGGAACATTTGCGATTCCCAAAAATTTCACGAATTTGCATAGAGAGAATCTTTTTTTTTCAGCGTCTGCGGCAGATATTTGGCATCGGCAGGGACGGACTGCAAGGTGTTGGTGTGGGACCTTTCGCACGGCCATCTGGTGGCCGAATTAACCGGACACGAGAAAACGGTGCATTGCTTGTCGTTTAGTCGGTGCGGAAATCTTCTGGTGTCAGGTGAATATTTGAAGGTTCATTTTTTTTAATCAGGAATACTTCGTCTTTCACTAGTTTACAAATGTTCATACAATGAACAACAATATTGGATAGCAAAAGTAAAACAACTACTATTGATTACAGAATATTTAATCACGCCATCCTCATTCAATCAATGCAGTGACTCATGAGGGCCAATTGCTCGAAACCGGTTTGCAGGTAGTTAGGCGTTACCTGTCTCCAATTCAAGCACAATCTCCTTCCTTATCTACCATTGTTGTTCATGTATCTACAATACATTTTTGTTGCTTACCTATTGCTACTATCAAATACTTACTTACTCCTATTTTCATTCTCTCAGTATCTTTTGTATTTCTTTGTTGTTTTACATATTGAAAATTTCAACCCAATTGGTCAAGCCGTTGAGAAGTTGACGTACCGACAGCAGCGCCACCTACCGCGTCCAATTGTATTTTCAAATCATCCAGGAAACCATCGAAATACCCATATAAAATTTCAATTCAATCGGTTGAGTCGTTAAGAAGTTATTTGAAAAAGATACGTTTGTATGGGAGGATAATTCTTACTACCCTCTGTCCTTTTACCCGTTTTCCCGTAGAAATGAAGCATTTTCCCGCAGTAAAAAGTAGCCTATGTTCATCAGGGATAATGTCGGCTTCTAATGGTGAAAGAATTTTTCAAATCGGTCCAGTTATTTTGGAGCCTATTCAATACAAACAAACAAATTGACAAACAAACAAACAAACAATAGTATATTGTTTAACGAGCATGGAATGATAGTAATTTCCTACGAGAATGAAGTTTGCAGCATGAGCCATCTAGAAAAACAAATCTTTATGAAAACATTTAATTAGGCGTTGAAATGTTCTAGAATATTATTCCACATTTCTGGACATTATGGGATATTTATTAATATTCTTGTACATCCTGGAACATTGTCGAAAATTATAGGAAGTTGAAGAGCCTTCTCAAACTTTCTGAAAAAATCAGATACACGCTGAAATGTTCTAGAATATACTTCTATCACATTCTGTAACATTATTGAACCTTTTAGGAAATTTTGGAACAGTATATAATCCCTACTAATATTATAAATGTGAGTGTAAGTTTGTTTGTCGGGCTTTCAGGCCAAAACTACTCGACCTATTATCATGAAATTTTGTATACATATTCCTAAATGTATTAGAAAAGGTATATTTTTATAAAAAAAATAAATAAAAATGGTATTTTTCTTCACGACGGAAAAAATATTTTTGTTGACATGATTGTTGGACACCAAATATCCAAGAAGAAAGATATTCATTATTAGATTACGTCTTTTGAGATTATTTAGGTGATTAAATGAAAATGACAAATATCTAACCAAACATCAGGTAGGCACTACGAAGGCGCGAATTCATTACTGCTATCAACTGACTTGACCACGAATGACTGACGTTTTAGTCTTTTGTGCCACTAAATGTACGATTCAATATCACCTGAATTGGACCATCTACAGTCAGGGTGCAACAAATAACTTTTTTGTTGTTGTAGGCAGATACATTTTAACTTTTGTTGTAGTAAATTATTTCGATAAAGCATGTTATCAGTTTTTGTAACTTCATTGTAATTAGTAATTTTTAAATGCTGAATCCCATTAATTCGGTTCTATTGGAAGGTAATGATATTTCAAATCTTTCCTCTTCATAATGTTAAGGCGGGTTTATGCACAGCGCTTTTTAATCAATCTGTAATTTCACTAATGAGTTTAAACTGCGTTTATTTCCGTTCATTCATTCATGCACCTAAATTGAATTCTATCTTTCATTAACTATTCACTAAGAGATGACCAACTTTTACGTCTTGACGATAAATACAAATGAAACTGTGACTTGCGCAGGCGCGATTCTGTCAGAAGTCAGACAAACAATTTCTTCCTCTTCTTTTTCCAAAATGTAGTTGGAAATCAAAAGGAAGAAGGAAAGCTCAAAGTCAGTTGGAAATCCTGAAAATTCTAGTCGTATGTTCAAATTAGACTTTGAAAATAATATGAATGAATGATTCTAATTGTATTTATGTGATCACTGAATGTAATAACACAAATATTTTCATCGGGCTAAGTACGCTGAGGACTATGTGTTGATCAAGAAGAAGTGTTTCAAATTAAAAGGAGGTGGGGCATAAAGGTATCATAGTCCTTAAATAAAAATAAACTTAATGGCAGTTAATGAAAGCAACTGATTAGTGAAAAAGCGGTTTGCATAAATCCACCTTTAGTATAGATGAGGAAATAACTAAGATTTTCCCTCATTTTTCCTGGAAAATCCGGTTGGTCGGACCATAGATGTCGGACCAATATGTATACAGGGACTTTGGTGAAACCCTCGTTTTTTTTTCAGGTGGTCTGGACTGTACGTTGAAACTGTGGGATTTCACGAAGCTGGTGGAAGAAACTACTTCAGATGACGTGAACGTGTCCCACAATCCGGATGTCAAGAGCGGAGAAGACTATTTGTTGAGGAGTTTTGCTACGAAAAGTTCACCGTTAGTTAGTGTTCATTTTACTAGGAGGAATTTGTTGATAGCTGTAGCCCTTTTTGATGGTACTAATACTTCATGAGACGAATAAAACGGTATTTGTAAGACATGTGACTTTCATTTGTACCTTTGCTATTTGAATATTGTTTAGAAAATCGATTTTGATTCGTTATGAGAGGATAGATTATCCTGCTATGAAGAAAACAAGGTTTTTTGATATCCAAAATTGGATTCTGACCGTACCAATAGCAATGAACAACATTTACCAGATCTAAATTGAATCCGTTCAACTGTCTATGGGTCAGGATAACGTCAAAATTTTCAGCGGTTTCCGAGACAGAGATTTTTTTTAGAATTTTTTCATCATCATTTCAGCGATCTATCAGACTTTTTTTTCAATTTTCGATCGCAAATATCTCGAGAACCAAGTGATATAGAAACGAACGGACTTCAGATTCTTGTTCAGCATATCAAGAACACCCTGTATGTAAGTTTACAGCCCATTCTGACGCCTTGAGTTTGGTGAAAAATGTTCAAAGGGGTTAACCTTGCTTATTTTTCAGACCAAAAAATCAACTTTGTCGTAGGGCCTCCAAATTTGGTATACAGGGTCCTTGTGGAATGCCCTAGTGCGGAGTAGAAGCACAGCTCTCTAACTTTCATAATAAAAAAGTAGCAAGTTTTCACCTGCTTTTCTGTCGTTGTGGTACCTTTGATATCAAATGGCTTGATCTAGTACCTCCATTGACTGGAGATCGAGAAATTCCTTGCCATCATTTCAGCGATCTATCAGATTTTTATTTCAATTTTCGATCGCAAATATCTCGAGAACCAATTGAGATAAAAACAAACGGACTTCAGATTCTTGTTCAGCACATCAAGAACATCCTGTATGCAAGTTTTCAGCCCATTCTGATGCCTCGAGTTTGGTGAAAAAAGTTCCAAGGGGTTAACCTTGTTCATTTTTCAGACCAAAAAATCAACTTTGTCGTAGGGCCTCCAAATTTGGTATACAGGGTCCTTGTGGAATGCCCTAGTGCGGAGTAGAAACACAGCTCTCTAACTTTCATAATAAAAAAGTAGCAAGTTTTTACCTGCTTTTTTGTCGTTGCGGTACCTTTGATATCAAATGGCTCGATCGAGTACCTCCATTGACTGGAGATCCAGAAATTCCTCGCCATCATTTCAGCGATCTATCAGAATTTATTTTCAATTTTCGATCGCAAATATCTCGATAACCAAAAGAGATAAAGACAAACGGACTTCAGATTCTTGTTCAGCACATCAAGAACACCCTGTATGCAAGTTCACAGCTCATTCTGATGCCTTGAGTTTGGTGAAAAAAGGTCCAAGGGGTTAACCTTGTTCATTTTTCAGACCAAAAAATCAACTTTGTCGTAGAGCCTTCAAATTTTGTATACAGGGTCCTTGAAGAATGCCCTAGTGCGGAGTAGAAGCACAGCTCTCTAACTTTCATAATAAAAAAGTAGCAAGTTTTCACCTGCTTTTCTGTCGTTGCGGTACCTTTGATATCAAACGGCTCGATCTAGTACCACCATTGACTGGAGATCGAAAAATTCCTCGCCATCATTTCAGCGATCTATCAGAATTCATTTTCAATTTTCGATCGCAAATATCTCGAGAACCAAAAGAGATAAAGACAAACGGACTTCAGATTCTTGTTCAGCACACCAAGAACATCCTGTATGCAAGTTTTCAGCCCATTCTGATGCCTCGAGTTTGGTGAAAAATGTTCAAAGGGGTTAACCTTGTTTATTTTTCAGACCAAAAAATCAACTTTGTCGTAGAGCCTTCAAATTTTGTATACAGGGTCCTTGTGGCATGCCCTAGTGCGGAGTAGAAGCATAGCTCTCTAACTTTCATAATGAAAAAGTAGCAAATTTTCACCTGCCTTTCTGTCGTTGCGGTACCTTCGATATCAAACGGCTCGATCTAGTACCTCCATTGACTGGAGATGGAAAAATTCCTCGCCATCATTTCAGCGATTTATTTTCAATTTTCGATCGCAAATATCTCGATAACCAAAAGAGATTAAGACAAACGGACTTCAGATTCTTGTTCAGCACATCAAGAACACCCTGTATGCAAGTTTTCAGCACATTCTGAAGCCTCGAGTCAGGTGAAAAAAGTTCCAAGGGGTTAACCTTGTTCATTTTTCAGACCAAAAAATCAACTTTGTCGTAGGGCCTTCAAATTTGGTATACAGGGTCCTTGAAGAATGCCCTAGTGCGGAGTAGAAGCACAGCTCTCTAACGTTCATAATAAAAAAGTTGCAATTTTTCACCTGCTTTTCTGTCGTTGCGGTACCTTTGATATCAAATGGCTCGATCGAGTACCTCCATTGACTGGAGATCGAGAAATTCCTTGCCATCATTTCAGCGATCTATCAGAATTTATTTTCAATTTTCGATCGCAAATATCTCGATAACCAAAAGAGATAAAGACAAACGGACTTCAGATTCTTGTTCAACACATCAAGAACATCCTGTATGCAAGTTTTCAGTCCATTCTGATGCCTCGAGTTTGGTGAAAAAAGTTCAAAGGGGTTAACCTTGCTTATTTTTCAGACCAAAAAATCAACTTTGTCGTAGGGCTTTCAAATTTGGTATACAGGGTCCTTGTGGAATGCCCTAGTGCGGAGTAGAAGCATAGTTCTCTAACGTTCATAATAAAAAAGTAGCAATTTTTCACCTGCTTTTCTGTCGTTGCGGTACCTTTGATATCAAACGGCTCGATCTAGTACCTCCATTGACTGGAGATCGAGAACGTTCTTGCCATTATTTCAGCGATCTATCAGACTTTTTTTTTTCAATTTTCGATCGCAAATATCTCGAGAACCAAGTGAGATAAAAACAAACGGACTTCAGATTCTTGTTCAGCACATCGAGAACACCCTGTATGCAAGTTTTCAGCCCATTCTGATGCCTCGAGTTAGGTGAAAAAAGTTCAAAGGGGTTAACCTTGCTTATTTTTCGGACCAAAAAATCAACTTTGTCGTAGGGCCTCCAAATTTGGTATACAGGGTCCTTGTGGAATGCCCTAGTGCGGAGTAGAAGCATAGCTCTCTAACTTTCATAATAAAAAAGTAGCAAGTTTTCACCTGCTTTCCTATCGTTGCGGTACCTTTAATATCGAATGGCTCGATCTAGTACCTCCATTGACTGAAGATCGATGTCACGGGAACTATACTCAATTTTTGTCTAACCGCAATGAATTTGGCTTATGGAAGAAATTCCTTGCCATCATTTCAGCGATCTATGAGATTTTTTTTTTCAATTTTCGATCGCAAATATCTCGAGAACCAAGTGAGATAGAAACAAACGGACTTCAGATTCTTGTTCAGCACATCGAGAACACCCTGTATACCAGTTTTCAGCCCATTCTGATGCCTCGAGTTTGGTGAAAAAAGTTCAAAGGGGTTAACCTTGCTTATTTTTCAGACCACAAAATCAACTTTGTCGTAGGGCCTTCAAATTTGGTATACAGGGTCCTTGTGGAATGCCCTTGTGCGGAGTAGAAGCTGAGTTCTCTAACGTTCATAATAAAAAAGTAGCAATTTTTCACCTGCTTTTCTGTCGTTGCGGTACCTTTGATATCAAATAGCTCGATCTAGTACCTCCATTGATTGGAGCTCGACAAAGTCCTTATTGCCATCATTTCAGCGATCAATCTGATTTTTTTGCAATTTTCGATCGCAAATATCTCGAGAACCAAGTGAGATAGAAACAATCGGACTTCAGATTCTTGTTCAGCACATCGAGAACACCCTGTATGCCAGTTTTCAGCTAATTCTGATGCCTCGAGTTAGGTGAAAAAAGTTCCAAGGGGTTAACCTTGTTTATTCTTCAGCCCAAAAAATCAACTTTGTCGTAATACCTTCAAATTTGGTATACAGGGTCCTTTTGGAATGCCCTAGTGCGGAGTAGAAGCATAGTTCTCTAACGTTCATAATAAAAAAGTAGCAAATTTTCACCTGCTTTTCTGTCGTTGCGGTACCTTTGATATCAAATGGCTCGATCTAGTACCTCCATTGACTGGAGATCGAGAGATTCCTGGCCATCATTTCAGCGATCTATCGGACTTTTTTTCCAATTTTCGATCGCAAATATCTCGATAACCAAAAGAGATAAAGACAAACGGACTTCTGATTCTTGTTCAGCACATCAAGAACACCCTGTATGCAAGTTTTCAGCCCATTCTGATGCCTCGAGTTTGGTGAAAAAAGTTCAAAGGGGAACCTTGTTTATTTTTCAGACCAAAGAATCAACTTTGTCGTAGGGCCTTTAAATTTGGTATGCAGGATCCTCGTGGAATGCCCAAGTGCGGAGTAGAAGCATAGCTTCATATCTTTCGAAAAAAAAAGTAGCATGTTTTCACCTGCTTTTCTGTCGTTGCGGTACCTTTGATATCAAATGACTCGATCTAGTACCTCCATTGACTGGAGATCGAGGAAGTTCTGGCCATCATTTCAGCGACCTATCAGTTTTTTTTTTCAATTTTCGATCGCAAATATCTCGATAACCAAAAAAGATAAAGACAAACGGACTTCAGATTCTTGTTCAGCACATCAAGAACACCCTGTATGTAAGTTTACAGCCCATTCTGACGCCTTGAGTTTGGTGAAAAAAGTTCAAAGGGGTTAACCTTGCTTATTTTTCAGACCAAAAAATCAACTTTGTCGTAGGGCTTCCAAATTTGGTATACAGGGTGTTTGTGGAATACCCTAGTGCGGAGTAGAAGCATAGCTTCATATCTTTCGAAAAAAAAAGTAGCATGTTTTCACCTGCTTTTCTGTCGTTGCGGTACCTTTGATATCAAATGGCTCGATCTAGTACCTCCATTTACTGGAGATCGAGAACGTTCTTGCCATCATTTCTGCGATCTATCAGAATTTATTTTCAATTTTCGATCGCAAATATCTCGAGAACCAAGTGAGATAAAATCAAACGGACTTCAGATTCTTGTTCAGCACATCGAGAACAACCTGTATACCAGTTTTCAGCCCATTCTGACGCCTTGACTTAGGTGAAAAAAGTTCAAAGGGGTTAACCTTGTTAATTTTTCAGACCAAAAAATCAACTTTGTC